TTTCCAGTTTTCGTCAGTTTAAGGTGTTTAAAGTGATAGTTGTCGGACAAAGCGACATAACTCTGATCCATATTGGTAAAACTCTTACGTGTTTTACTGCTATGGTTGTAGTTCTCTTTGTTACAGGTACCTTTTTCAAAAATGAAACAAAAATACAAAATTGAATGCATTTATGATATTCAAAAAGTAAAAGGAAAATAAAGAGATATTTTGAATAGTCGTTATGAATTTTTGATTCATTTACACTGTTCTGCTTTTCCTTTTTAAACCTTTATATGATTAGTTGAATACCTATATATACTACCAAAGATCACGATTCAGTCATCAATACAAAAGTTATTAATTGGCAAAAATATATTGGACAACGGAAGGATTCTTATATTAGAAGTAAGAAGAATTGGGATCACGCGGCATACAGTATATTTCCTTACAATATATGCATGTCCACGAGATTCCAATCGTAACTATTAAAATCTTTGGACAACGACAACCACTGACAAGGCTTCTGATTACAGGGACAGGTGTGAACCAAAATTTGTTCCTGTGAAAAAAGTTCCAGTGGAATAAATATCATAGGAAATAAGTTCCGGGATAACTTTTTTCACAGGTAATTTCTATATAATTTGTTCCATCTCTATAAAATAAGTTCCACACTTAACCAGGTGAAATAAGTTCTGGGTGTGTAATATTTGTTCCTCACCTGGTGCAATAAGTTCCGGGTTTGTGAGATTTGTTCCTTACCTGGTGAAATAAGTTCCTTGTCTGTGAAATATGTTTCACTGGTCATACAAGTTATCTTAAATACTGAGCATTTGTCATCAGTGAGTTTAAAGTTATCATTCAAGTACATTATAAAAACATGTACATGTATAAAATTGATAATGTAATAAATAAAAAGTGTAAACAATCAATATGGATCATGTTGAGTATAGTAAAAGTTTAATTACATACTCGATGAAAAAAAAATACCCAAATGACACTAATGAGCCAGAAAAGATGAGAATAAGAAAAATCACTCAGAAAAAAATATAATTAAAGATGAACATTTGTACTAAGTTGAAAAGGACAAAGTAACTGATCAATCACATTAAAAGACACGTAGAAACAAAAGACAAAAGTATTTTGAAAATGTGCCATAACCTTAGTATGACTAGATCACCCATGACAGTTAACAGGAAACAATGAGGAAAACCACATAAAGCATACACAAATACAAAATGATACATTACCATTGCCTTTATTTCTATTCTTCATCCTAGAGTTTCAATCATGCCTTCAATTGCAAATTTACTCCATGCAAGCACAGTACAGCATCCAGCTTGCATTATCATTTAAGTGTAACAAAAAAATTTTCCGCTGTGAAATATGTTGCAACGGTACTTATTTTCGATGAAATAGGTTTGAGCAGAACTTATTCATTCATTTCTATGAAATATGTTCCTTCGGAATAGGTTTGAGCAGAACTTATCATTCATTTCTATGAAATATGTTCCTTCGGAACTTATATCATAGGATCTTATTTCAATTTTTATTAAAATTTTAATATTGGAACAAATTTCATGGAGCTGTGATTTTTGTTCCAGAACTTATTTCACATTTGGTAAAAAAAATAGTTCCGGAACAAATTTTACAGTGCAGGAACATATTTTCTGTGATATAATTCTGGTGGAACATATTTCCTATAAAATTGGTTCCGGCGGAACAAATGTCACGCCGGAACAATTTTTTTTTGCTACAAATTACCCAGTCATATACAACAAAACAATTATATCACAATCGTGTAAAGGAATTAAAAATAACAATAATCCAATGGAAAATGTTTATTTTTGTCATACATTTTGGTTCGATGGTGATGATGATTGATTGATTGATGTTTATTTTTATTATTTATGAAGATTGAAGAAACAATTTTGTAATAAAAAATTCCAAAAAGGACAAAGATTACTATGAACATTCAGATTATTTCTCGTTAATACATTTGTTATAACTCAGAACCAAGAAGTCAAGAAATAGTTAAAAGAGAGATAACTTAGTTTTTCAATATTTCCTGGGTGTTCACCTTTTCTTCTTTGTTGTTTTGTTGATTGTGTTTCTACATGAAAGATCGCAATTTCAAACTTCGGAATTGAAAATAATACTTTATACATTTTGTGCGCCCGAATCATTTTTCAAGATTTACACTCATCCATGATTAAGTTTTAGAAAAGCTGCTCATTAATTAAAACTGTGTGCAAGCCGTCTCGATGTGAAAAGGAAGTATTGGTTCAGTACCAAAACTCTGCAATCCACAATTATACTGTGAGCAGAAACATAAACTGATTTTGTGTCATGGTTGGATACCCCATATCCTTTATTTTTCTATTCTATACACTTCTCAATTTATTTACCGGATATTATGTTTGATGATATTACTGTATTCATCTTCTGGATATGGTGTTTAATCTGATTGTTTAATTCATCTCCTAGGTGTTAGAAAAACCTTAACTTACATATTGGATGTGGTGTTTAAACACATTTCTCGATTCGTCTACAGGATGTGGTGTTTAAATATTTTTTAACTCATCTACTGGGCAAAGTGTTTAATAAAATTTCTGTATTCGTCGACTGGATGTTGTGTTTAATTTCTTTCCTTTACGAGTCTACTAGATTTGGTGTTTAATTACATTTATGATTTATTAACTCATCTACTGGATATGATGATGGGGTTTTCTCATTACTAGTAGTTGTCTCATTGGCAATCATACCACATCTCCTTATTTTGATATTCATGTATCATTATCAAAATTTGAGTTTTCAGTGTTGTTTGTTTACAAGAGAATATGTCTCTGAACAATGAAAGTAAGATGTCTTTTGCAAGTCAATTTTACTAGAGGATCTAAACAGCATGTGTCGCTCACCTAGCTCTATGTGCATCTTCATCAATTGACACTCTTTAACATTGTAGACTAAAATAGAATTCATTACAAAAATCTCGTTTTTGTTGATCTTGTATTACTGGATCATTTCATCTGTTTACATTTTCTCTACCTTCTTTAGTTTTTGCCAAAAACACAATCTAGAGGCTCTAAAGAGCCTGTGTCGCTCACCTTGGTCTATATGCATATTCAACAAAGGACACTCTCCAACATTGTAGACGAGAAAAGAATTCATGACAAAAATCTCTGTTTTGTTGATCTTGTATTGCTGATCACTTAGTGTGTCTAGTTTCTCTCTATCTTCTTTAGTTTTTGCTCAAAACACAAAAGAAGGTTAACAAAATCCTCATTTAAAGGCAATCACTCCTATAAAGAGAGACAGTCTACTAACTATATCGGCAAAATTTGACTTGTTAGTAGATCTGGTCTTGCTGATCATTTTTGTTTATTTAAGTTTCTATCTATCTATTATAATTTTTATCATATAAGGCAAACCGCAAAAAAATGGTAAAAATCGTCATTAAAGGGCAATAATTTCAATAAGGAGTCGTCGGACGATTTCCACCATTTGTTTTAATTGTAGATTTTGTCTTGCTGATCATTTTTGTTTTTTTAAGTTTCTATCTACCTATTATAATTTGTAAGATAATAAGCAAAAACGCAAAAAATTAAAAAATCATCATCAAAGGGCAATAACTCTAATAAGGAGTCGACTAACAATTTCGACCATGTTTAGACTTATTTGTAGAATTTGTCTTGCTGATCATTTTTTCAATTGTAAGTTTCTCTCTATCTATTAGTTTTCAAGATAATAGGCAAAAATGAAAAAAATGGTAAAATTTGTCATTTAAGGGCAATAACTCCTATAAGAAGTCGTCTGACAGTTTTGACATCAATGGACAATTGGTAGAGCTCAACATTCCGAACATTTTTGCTTTGTCAGATTTTCTCTATTTATAACGATTTTCAAAATAAAGGACAAAACTTGCATTTTTCCCCTATGTTCTATTTTAAGCCATGTGGGCCATCTCGATTGGCATGCGGGGTCATCGGACACATTCTTTTAACAAGATACCCCATTGATGATTGTGGCCAAGTTTGGTTAAATTTGGCCAAGTAGATTCAGAGGAGATTTTTGTAAAAGCTAACAGACAAAGACGACGACAACGGACGCCAAGTGATGAGAAAGGGCCAGGTGAGCTACAAAAAAACATCTGCCCGACCTTGTAGAGACATATTTTAGTACAATGTGAATTTCATGTCAATCAATTTCCTTCATAATCATGGGCTCATTAAAAGGACATGAAATATTATCTATTTTTGTGTAATTAATTTAAAGGCTGTTATTGTAGCCTTTTATAGTTGCAGTATATAAAACAATATAAGATCAATGTCTGAAAACATCATTTTTTTGCATCATAGTTTTCAAGCTTAAAACAAAAAGTTTATATTTGACTTTATTCTTTAACTTTTTAGTTTATTTTTCTCTATTCTTTTTATCTTTTTGCCTATTATTCTCTTTTTTTTTTTATTTTAGCCCTATTTTTCTCTATTCTTTATATTTTTAGCCCATTAGCCTCTTTACTGTAAACCCCCATCCCGACTCTCAATCAGTCAACCATGAAAATGAAAGTCAGTATCGAGTGTTAAACTGGCACAGGTACAAGATTCAAGTAAGGACCTACAGACTATATACAACTATTTTGATAATCAACTCCATTAGTATTAAAAGAACCTTTGTAAGCATGCTCACATACCCCCCACTCTATTCGGTACCATCTTTTTTTTTTTTTTATTAGTTTATCCTGACTTTTTTTGCATAAATTTTCATCCTGCCTTTTTTTCAAATTTCATCCTACCAAAAACTGGGGGTAATCTAAGGTGCTTTGGAAGGGTAAGCAGATCCTGCTCCACATGTGGCACCTGTCGTGTTACTCATGTTAGTACAAACCTGGTGATAAGTCTAATTTTACCTCTTTAACTTTTTTTATATGAGTGTCACTTTTGTAGACAAAATATTAATTCTGGTATCTATGATGAGTGTACCCAAGTCTCTTAAATGCATGTCAATCAAGAAAGAACATCTCAATTTTTATACATCTCTTTTAATCTAATATCAATGACATTCATAATATATCACAAAGTTTTTACATCTTTATATTACAACATTGCACAATTGTGTGACTAATCTTCAAATTCTATCTTGTACAGATATCTCATAAAATCATTAAAGAAGTACAGCATTCAATTGTTTGACCTGTAAAATAAACATAAATCCCTAACCCAACTCTTAACTGTAAATTTTCTATAAAATGGAATTTGTAATTCTTGTCAATTTAAAAAAAAATGCTGTACATTTGTATCTTGATTATACTGATTATCTGCAAATTTAAAATTCAGTTATTCATCATGCTCATTCATAAAAAGAGTGATATAAATATGTCTTTTATATATATATCCCTATAGTCAAGAAAGGTAATATCTATGTACATTTTCTACAGATTTATTGCATTAATTTGAATATTTTGATCATTTAATAGCCATTCTGGAATCACTGTAATGAATTGGTTAACTTTTAATGGATGCCTTAGCTACATTAGATGAAATTGAATATGCAAACATATATGGGTTTTAGTATATGTCATTTCCATGTGAATCTCAATATTAAACAAAGAAGGGCCAAGTACTATCTATATCTTTTATGTCTAGTGTGACTGTGTAGTGCCGAAAGCACTTAAAAGAACTCCAACAAAGAGTAAAGTCCAGTTAAGTCCAATGAACGATTTAAAAACTGGCAGTTTTTATGATCTTAACAAGGGAATGGCAGTTCAATGTTATTTAAATGGCAAACGTACGCATTGAGAAATTGTGAATTATTCTAATTAGTTCCAAGCTGTATACTGTACATGGTTATACATGTAAATAAAATCCAACATTGTGGAGATTTCTTCTCGCTGACCATTTGCACATGATTAACATTTTTGTCAAGAACTGACAGAAAAGAATATGATTTTTCTAAAATAATCACCAAAACAGACCTTCACATATGTCTAAACACTATATGTTGTATTGTTGTTTATCAAGTCTGCCTACTTTTGAAGTCTGTGATTTGTAATATGAAAGGTTTCTATGGACTGTTTGTCTTTATTAAAGGAGCTGTATTCTAGTCAGATACCAAAATACAAACAAACAATAACCAAATACATATCTCCCTTGATATTTCTTGTATTGTAAGAAATTATATTTGAAGAAATAAGTGTATATATTTTGAATTTAAATTCTAATGAAATGTATTACAGAATTGTTGAATTCTGATAAATTTCTTATCAAACATTTTTAAGAGATATATACAAGATTAGAATCATCATGATCATAACTTAAAATCATTACTATTTAACATAAATAACTTGATTATTTGTACAGAAATATACACTACTATACATAATATACATGTGTAATGTTATGTTGCCATACAAATAACAATCATAAATGCTGCTTTTAATGTATACTGTGGAATGTGGATTCATTATTATTCGTTGGATACTAGTTTCAGTGGACTTCGTAGATATAGTCGAATTTGAATGTTTATGAAATCCCAAATTTTCCATGGAATTTTATGAAGACTTGTGTAAAACCATGAAATAAAATATCCACAAAAAAGCAATTTTTTATTTATCCGCAAAAATTGGTATCCACGAAAATAAATGAATTCACAGTAGTCACTTGTATCCAAATTTGGCATTTGTGATGATTGGGCATTTAAGTTAAAGGTTATTGGGCACATCAGTTGAAGCCAATATGAATCTTAGACCAAGCAAAATGAGGTATATTAAACTTTTCAACAAAAAAAAAAAAGATTTGCTAGATGAATGAAAGTTGATACCTGAACTGACAACACATTTTATACCTTTTAAACAAGTATGAGTATTTGACACAATCATCAGGGATTTCTCAACAAAGACCTGTCAATTTAGTTCTTTTCATCTGTATACACAGCATTCACACTACATGATCTTCCAATTGGTGATTTTTCCCGGAAAAGTTGATGTCAAAAAGCAAATATCTTAAAGTCACAATAACGAGTTTTCTCCCAAATGACCCTAGGTCAAACGAGCAGTTCATTTCATAAAATAGAAATTGGAATCTCGTGTATCAAAAGAGTAGATAGAAAACATGAGGTCTACCACTAGCCTGCAAAATCCCATCAATAAAAGTATCCATTCAGGTCAAAATTTTTAGGAGGATGGTAAATAGCGGTACATATGCATACAGTCGATTCAATAATAGCAGTATCGTATACATTAGTGTTGAACTTGTGAGGACAGTCAATAGTGAAGACAACAGTCAATTATAACATATATGTATACAGTAACATATCTATTATTATATATGAATGGATAAAGAGACAGTATCAAAAGCATAACAACAAACACTATCAACATAACATTACACAAATCCTATACAAAATATTCTTCTTCTGCATAATCATGAAATGGTTCTCAGTCAAAATGTTACACAACTCACAAGTATTTAAATGAATTGATTATTTCCTTGAACTCACATTGGTTAATATTCTATGTAAGGCAACCCCAATTAAACCTCAAATCTGATTTCCTTTCCATTCAACCCAATGATAATCAACCACTTCAAACTGCTGGCGATTTTGGCATTTTTGATGTCATTTTTTGTCAAACTTTGGACTAATGTTTTAATATAAAGTTCTACCATTTCACCAATTGTGTAAACATTGGCATGTCAAAGATAAAATTAAGTGAAATTCAAACGAAAAAACAAGCTGTCTTGCACCTTGAAATTCTGATTGATAAATCCTCCTTTTCTTCACGTCCAGTGGCAACTATTTCAAGCATTTTTATTATGAGAACAAATTAAGGAATAATCAAGACTTAGATAAATTTCAGGTATTATGCAAAAGAACAATATTTTTTAAATAATTGCATATCTAACATTTCAGTAACATGGAATTCAGTAATGAATACAAAAACATTTCTATCACATATTTTTACCTATAAAATGATTAGTTGCCATGGTAATGATTACATTGTTTATATACTTTGAATAAATAATTTTCCATCCATATATCTCTTTAATGACAATACACAACTTCCTGAACTATTTTCATTTTTCAATACTGGTTTTACTTTCATTCATTTTTAGGCATTTCATAGCATAGACCTGCAACTAAACTATAAATATATTCATCAATGTATATGTTAAAAAAAGTTTGAACTATAGCGATAGACGTTAACATGTCCTTCTGACTGTCACAAATCGGTGTGGCATTGTACAGACACCTTTTATCAGGTGCCTTGTATCATTGACTTTAACACATGTCTTTCTTATAACTGTCAATTTTACGATGAATTTCGACCTAGATTTAGTCCAATAATTATAACAAGTTTGGTCTGGATGGTATAGATGGTCTATCTGGAATTTTAGGAACACCTGGAGGGCCAGCAGAACTTGGGCGTCTGAAAAAATAATTGAAAAACATGTTGAAAAGTTTTTGCAATACATTACTGATTACCCCATAAAGATATGAATAAAGAAGGCTGCAAAGGAAAATAAACTGCTTCCCTGAGCGCAGCTGGATACGCCCGCAGATGTCCAACCATGAACAGTTGGGGCAAAAATGGACACAATATTCAAGCTTGATACAGGTCTGAATTTGGATTGTAATTAAATATTTGACATATTATAGGTTTCTGAATAAATGTAGTCAAAGAACTTGAAATTGGTTATATGAATTGAATTTATATTCAATTAAAGATTTCTTGCTGTTGTGCAATACACTGTGCTGTTGCGCAATATAGTAAATCTGTTGTCAGACTATAAACAAATAAAGTTCAATTAATTCTCAATGTCATATCAGAAATTTACGAAAATGTAAAGAGAGCTTACATCAATAGATATAAACAATTCAGAGAATTGCTGACAGCATTTTTGAGTTATTGTCCGAAAACTGGAAAATCCCCCCTTTTTTAATGAATAAAACCCCATAACTCAGAAATGATAAATGAAAAATTTATAAAATTCTAAACGGAGCTTACATCAATAGATATAAACAATTCACCAAAGTTTCATAAGAACTGCTGAAAGCATTTTTGATTTTTTGTCCGAAAACTGGAAAAATCCCCCTTTTTTTATGAATAAAACCATGTAACTCGGAAACGTAAAATCTAAAATATATAAAAATTGAAAGGGAGCTCATGTCAATAGATATAAACAATTCACCACAATTTCTTGCAAGTTGGTGAAAGCATTCTTGAGTAATTGTCCGAAAACTGGAAAATCCCCCTTTTTTTAATGAATAAAACCCCATAACTCGGAAACTAAATTCTAAAATCTATAAAAAACGAAAGGGAGCTCACGTCAATAGATATAAACAATTCACCAAAGTTTTATGCAAATTGGTTAAAGCGTTTTTGAGTTAATGTCCGACATGTTGACGATGGACGGACAGACGGACATAAAAATAAAAACATGTGACATCATCTTAACTGTTTTGGTTTCAAATAGATTTTACTTCTGTTTTAATACTGATGGGTTCTCAAATTTTCTCTCATGCTTTTTTCAAATAAAAATTTGTTGTACTAAGTACTTATAACTCATGGAATTGTGGTATGTGTTAAACCATAAGTTCTTGTATGGTCTTTTTCAAATCCAAGTAGGGGCAAATCTAAAGATATACTGAGAACAAAAATATTCATTTCATAAAATTTGAAATATTTGGGCTCTTCACTATTTAATGTTAACTTCTCAATTTTTTTTATTCCTCTTCCGTTTAATGTTTTGTTTTTGTTAGTTTTTAAGTTAATTTTGTACTTTTTGCATTAAAAACAATACAAATTAATGATAAATAGTTTCACAAATAAATGCTACAATCATCTTGAATAAAATAATCATATACAAGTTTGGTTTATTTTTACTTATATTCATGAAAACATAACAAGAGTGCTGCAAATAAATTCATATTATCTAAAAATTCAGAAGTTCTGACATTCTTATGATCTGAAAGTGCTTCTTTAATAAAAATAAATGCAAATCAAGGAAGACAAAAACACAGAACAAATAATAATCACACTCACAAATTGAATACAGTGAGAAGATACAAAAGCTTCAAATAAAAGAACAAGCTAACACAAAAGCTGGAAATTAAACAGAAAGTGATAAAATCAGTGTCATTCAACATAAAGTCTTTAATTGATTCTTAGAAATTTAAGGAGTAATCCATTTTTAAACACACATCCAATCATTTATCTTTTGGCTATTAAAAGAATAACTATGTCTTTATATTATTCGTTTGAGGATAAAATTATAAAGCATTATTTTCATAAAATTTAATAAACATGTATTGGATGATTAGACAACATCTTACACAAACATGAAAAAAAAGTGATTTCCCAAAACTTTATTCAAAGATAGATTTAGTCTTGCTTTCTAATGTGCCAGTTCAAAGATTTTACTGTAAAACATCCATTTTTTGGATGGTTGATATTATTTTCTGCTTTTCATGCAGAGTATCTGAGCTGGACTTTTAGTTTCAAAATATAATTACTTTCTGATTTTTTTCTGTGGGACAAGGTTGGCCATTAACAAAAACTTATACGTATTTTTTAAAATTGGAAACATTTGAAACCTCCCTCATAAATAATTTCTCAAAGGACCTTTAAAGAGGCATGACAAACAATAAGGAACTAGCTTTCCCTTAAACAATTAGTCAGCACACACCAAAAGATTTGTTTATATTAATGAGTAGCTGCTAGAAGTAGCACAAACACACAGATAAGTTACTTTGACAATGATATTAAGTCTTTGTCAGAGTACTGATAAGACAGAAAGTGTGAGATCACAAGTACAGAAATGTCTAGCAAACTCTGATTAGTAAACAGTATGGCCATAATATTTCCTAAATTTTCAGACTAATATTTCAATTTGTGATGACAATTCTTTCCAAACATATATTGACTGTATTCATACAAGTTCAATTTTCAAATTATCAATGACTATAGCCTGTAATATCTTGGTAAACCACATCAAATTGATTTACAAAAATATTTTAAGAAATATAACTAATTTTGAAAATGAGAACATAAAAAAAAGCTTTGCGCTTGATTTCTTTTTCTTATTAATAATAATAAGTAATTCTCTATCCAATAACTTGTTTCTTTACAGGTGCTTTCAAATGAATAAGGTTTTAAATAAGAAAGTGTCTTAGTTATAATAAAACACAACAGAATGAAAACCAAAGAAATATAGCCATAATAATTAAAACATAACTCCAAATGTGTATTGAATGAAGACTCTCATTGTAGGGTTTCATGCACACTTTTATACCTCCATGATGATATTTGAAAATGGAAAGCAAATTTTTACATGCATTTTTCCCCATCACCAGTAAAAAAAATCTGCACATGATTTCTATTTTTAACAACACAAATTAGTTTTAACAGCAAACAGTCCTATGTCAATACATGTACTAAACATATCTTAATACAGGTAGATTTTTCTTCTTCATTTCTTCTCAAGAAACAATCATGCACTGAATGTTTGCCATATTTTCATTCTTGTGAAGATTATACCTGGTCACCCCTTCATGCAAAGTTTTAGGGTTATTTATGTTTAAAACACTTTTTTCAACTTATAGCCAAAATGTGTGCGGCCATTTTCTTTACCACCTAGCTTACCAGTATATATTATTACCTAATGTGCACTATTCAGAGGCAGATAAAGGGTGTGTGTGTGTGGAGTGGGGAGGGGGGGTTCCATTTTTATGGATCTTAATATATGATAAAAGGCAAAGACATTTTATAAGTATCACTCTAAACCTTGGCTTGCCATGGACCCCCTTTTTCAAAATCCTGGATCTTTACTTGCTATTAAAAACATTTTCTGTACAAAATTTTTTTTTTTTTTTTTTAGATTATCATTTACTCAGTAATACAACAGTTTTGAGACGAAACAAAAACCTTATAGAGTTCAACAGGGACCTAGTCAAATTTGTTTCAGCAAGAAACGAGAATAACTTTAAAGAGGGTGTCCCAATCTTCAATCTTGTATAGTCTAAAAAAAATTGGTTTTATAGGGCAAATATGAAAAAATAATTTGATATCAAAAATGTTGTTTGCTTAATGTCCAGTGGAACATATTTCAAGAGAAGTACAGTTGAAACATTACAGTACTTATGCAAATTCTGCATAGTGGGTTAACCGATGTGAATGAACAGAAATTTAGAGGGCCACTGGACAAAGCGGTATTGCTGAGCAGGGTCTGAAATGTTTTCTTGCAATAGGACAGCCAAAGACCAATCAAAGATTTGCCACAAGGATATTTACCATACATGACCTATTACATACAGAAAGTATGGTACCACTGGACATGTCTGCATATTTATATATCCTGCACATCCAAAGAACAACTAGGTAGTCAGCAAGGTAAGAATATTTCAACACACCAGTCAAACCCTGGGGGGTAAGGAAAAACATGAAATTTGACCAACCACAATCAGGACTTGCAAGTGACAGCATGGTTTTTCTTAGATTCAGAACTAAATATAAGTTTCATAAAGCACCTATTATACAATATACTACCAAAATTAATTTGGATTGGCTACATAGTTTCAGGGGAAAACAATGTAATGTAAAAAACTGAAATGTAACTGGACCATAAAAGAATAAAATGCTCCGCAGGGCGCAGCTTGATACGACCGCAGAGGTCAAACCCTGAACAGTTGGGGCAAGTATGGACACAACATTCAAGTTTGATACAGCTCTGAATTTGGATTGTGATTAAATATTTGACACAGCATAGGTTTCTGACACAGAATGAATGTGGTCTAAGAACTTAAAAATTTTAAATTGGACATTCACCTATTATGGTCCAATATTCAAAATCTAAATACATGGTTAGATTAAGCATATCAAAGAACCCCAAGAATTCAATTTTTGATGAAATCAAACAAAGTTTAATTTAGGACTCTTTTGACCTCAATGTGGACAAAGTTGATAACGGGGCCCAAAAATCAAAAATCTAAATACATGGTTAGATTCAGCATATCAAAGAACCCTATATATTCAATTTTTGTTGAAATCAAACAAAGTTTAATTTTGGACCCCGATTTGGACCAACTTGAAAACTGGGCCCATAATCAAAAATCTAAATACATGTTTAGATTCAGCATATCAAAGAACCCTAAGAATTCAATTTTTGTTAAAATCAAACTAAGTTTAATTTTGAACCCTTTGGACCTTAATGTAGACCAATTTGAAAACGGAACCAAAAATTAAGAATCTAAATACATGGTTAGATTCGGCATATCAAAGAACCCCAAGAATTCTATTTTTGATGAAATCAAACAAAGTTTAATTTTGGACCCTTTGGACCTCAATGTGGACCAATTTAAAATCGGGGCCCAAAATCAAAAAACTTAATACACGGTTAGATTCAGCATATTAAAGAACCCCAAGAATTCAAGAATAAAACCCCATTGAAATTGGTCAAGATATAAGCAATTAATACTGTGCAATTGAATATTTCTTGCTATTGCGCAATACTGTACAATTGACAATTTCTTGCTATTGCGCAATATTGTGCTATTGGATATTTCTTGCTATTGCGCAATACTGTGCAATTGAAGATTTCTTGCTATTGCGCAATACTGTGCAATGAAAGATTTCTTGCTATTGTGCAATACTGTGCAATTGAAAATTTCTTGCTATTGCACAATACTTATTATATAATAATTTACACATCCTGTTTGGTGTGTATCTCCTACCATATCATTATTATTTGCTTTTAAATATAAATCAGAAATAACCAACTTAAAATGGAAAATTTTAAAAGAAAAAAAAAGGAAAAAAAGAAAAAAAAGGAAACCCCCCCCCCCCCCCCCAATTTTTTGAAACCCCTTATGATTCATCACCCCCAAACTCAATCCCAGCCTTCCCTTTGTGGTATGGTACCTTGCAGTACAATTTCAGAGAGATCCATACACTTGAACACAAGTTATTGTCCTGAAACTAGAAAAATGCTTGTTTTTTTCCCCTTTTTGGCCCCTTATTCCTAAAATTTTGAGGGAATTACCCCCAAAATCAATCCCAGCCTTCCCTTTGTGGTATGGTACCTTGCAGTACAATTTCAGAGAGATCCATACACTTGAACACAAGTAATTGTCTGGAAACTATAAAAATGCTATTTTTGGCCCCTTATTCCTAAATGTTTTGGGCAATTACCCCCAAACTCAATTCCAGCTTTCCCTTTGTGATATGGAACCTTGTAGTTCAATTTCAGAAAGATCCATACACTTACACACAAGTTATTATCATGAAACTAGAAAAATGCTTGTTTTTTGCCCCTTTTTTGGCCCCTAATTCCTAAAATTTTGAGGCAATTACCCCCAAAACCAATCCCAGCATTCCCTTTGTGATATGGAAACTTGTGGTACAATGTCAGAGAGATCCATACACTAACACACAAGTTATGTCTGGAAGTTACAAAAATGCTTATTTTTGGCCCCTAATTCCTTAACTGTTGGTACCATAACCCCCAAAATCAATCCCAACCTTCCTTTTGTGGTATTGAACCTTATGGTAAAATTTCACGGAGATCCATTCACTTAAACTAAAGTTAGAGTGCGAAAACCAATGTGTCTTCGGACGATGCCGGACGACGCCAGACGATGACGACGACGCCAACGTCATACCAATATACGATCAAAAAATTTTTAATTTTTGCGGTCGTATAAAAAGGGCACAATAATTATCAAAGGCCCAGAGGCCCGAACTTAGCAAAACATTTTTTTTCTTCAGAATTTAGTATGTTAATATCAATCAATATTTTTCCGATCTTATCAATGTATAAATTTTATACATGAAATGAAATTGTATGCTAAAACTTTACATTACAGGCAGTTGTTAGGTTTCCTTATGTTTCAAAGGACAATGAAACATCATCAACTATTGAGTTTGATGATGCCAATTATGATACAAATGATTTTTTTTAAATAATTCAATGCTATTAAACTAAGATTATACATACATGCACAAATCCTACATATTCAGAACAACAATTAAATATTCGCCCATGCAGATAAAGGAAAACAATATGTTAAATCAATTACAAAAAAATTTCATTTTTACATGCAGCTAGATATTAAATGTCTTCTTAATAAAATTTTACAATATAGTCATTCGTAACATATATTTTGCAGCAAACAATGCCTGGGATAGTTTCTCAGAAATCATGTGCAGAATTGGAAGCTTTGTAAAAAAATCCTCATTCAATGGTAATTTGAAATTAGGTTGATACTCATATAACATACCCTCGTTGAGATCCATACTGATTTGATAAATATGATTTTGTTCTGTAACGAAGTGTACATTTTGACTTTAAAACATTTGGGTAACATGTATTTTTAAGGTATTTTACAGTACATATGGGATGGGTTTGATGAATAATAATCAAATGTTTTAATAGTTCAATTGTATAGTAAAAATCTAATCAAAATTTGTCCTTGAAGTTATACCTTTTTTTTCTGTAACATATATCATGTATATGTACACAAATTTTAGACTAATCACTTTAAATTTATATTCCAAGCAATACAAATTTTAAACCCAAATTTTTGAAAGACTTCTAACATTTTTCAATAAACGTTTTCAAATCTGCAAAAATAAATAATTTGAAAAACATTATAAAGAAATTTATAAAGCAATCCACACTGAAGCATAACTTAAATCCACTCACATGGCATAAATAAAGAAATTCATTGATACTTTACAACATAATATATTTAAAACACTAAAATTTCTTAAGCATCTACAGAATATCTTCCAATTAAGAAGCTTTAGCAACTTTTAAAACCAAAATATTACACAATAACAGTTTCTCTACGATTCCTGTACCTTTAGGATTTTATGGCAGATATTGTTATTATTGTTGGCTTTCATACTTGGGGATGTCAATTTTGATGTAAAGGGCAAATCTTTAAGACGCTTTAATTGATCAGCAACTTTCCATTGTCTTAAACATTTTATGGATGTGTGGAAATTCTTTTTCTGGATTTAACACCAAAACAAGATTTTGTTTTTACCATAAAAATTTGATCATAAATGGTCGATTTTAATCTAAAACACAAAAATTGTAGGAACTTCAGCTTTGCGAATCTTTAATTTCTATAAAATATCTTCCACTTGATTGGCTTACACTATTTCAAAATACTGGCCAAGATGAAATGACCTTAATTTACAAATAAATTTTATCAGCACAAAAAATGTATCCTTTCTTAAATCTTAAATCACATAATGTTAATAGCTATTTAAAAGGAACAGACAGTGTATATGGTAAGTACAAATGAGATATTGCTTATTCAATCAAAAGGGAGCTAACTCTTGTTCAGGGAAGATAACTCTGCAATCACTAAAAGACAATATAAAAACCTACCCTTGTGCAATTCCTTGCGCTATGAGTGGTGCTGCACTGTAAATGTTAGAGAAGTAAAATCAGTATTACACCTTCATAAATTCTATATTTTAACATTAAAACTGTTTCAGTTCAAAGTATTGCAAAAACGTTAATTTCACATATTAGTAACAAAAATAGTTTTCCTTAAGAACAGAAATAATCTTTTGAAATATGTGTTTAACCTTTAACCTAAGACAATACCTTGCAATTTACCTACTTTTTTTAAACTGCAAAATTTGGATGGTTCCAAGTGTGTTTTTTATTCAATTACTTTTAAATAATCTGTATTTTTTTTCAGTTTCTTAAGTACATATACAAGGAGATCGTTTAGAAGGACAAAAGAACCTATGTAATATTTTCAATATAAAGTTTTTACCAGATATGTTTACATGTTAATTTTAGACTCATATTTTTCTTAACACCCTACCTTCTTGCAGCATCTGCAGCATATGGTGCAGCACTACAATTTAAAATATTGATTCATATTATTTCATAATGTCTTTAAAAAAATTTTTACTCAAATATTCTTCGCAAAAACAAGTTATATCTGGTTTTTTTCCTTCAATGTATTAATCATTTTTGTTTCTTTAGCTTACTTTATTCTTTTTTTTTTTCTTCATTTAAAAAAAAAAGGTTAATGAATGCTAGAATAATTCAACTGAAAAAATGCTACAAATGTTATTTTACAGTGCACTCATATAATATTTATTATTTCAGTAACATGTTTTTATTATCCTACCTTCTTGCAATATCTGCAGCATAGGGGGCAGCACTACAATTGAAAATATTGGATCAGAAACATTGCTTATAAGTAACTTTTAAAAACTCTAGTATTTTCCCTAAAATTGATCTTTTTTTTTAAATTTTTATTTAAAAGATGTTTCCTTTTATTGTGTGGTGTTTCATTTTTTTACTTCACGGAAAAATTTCAATATTTTATATTTTTACACATTTACCAAGTTATATTTTTTGTTTCATTCATCTATGTTATATATTTTTCATTATCTTAATGTATCCAAAAACATTTTGAAAATTTAATTTGATCATACAGACAAATATTCCTACCTGTGGGCTATTTCTCCAGCATAGGGAGCAGCACTAGAAATATGAAGAAAAAATGTCCATGTTATATTAAATTTATTAAAAAATATACATTTCTACATGCTTATAAAATACATTTTTTTTTCTGGGAAGTCATTTATTCCATAAAAAATGTTTGAAAATATGTACAAATTTTTGAGATTGGAAAAAAAAAAGATGTTTTTATTTAACATTGAAAGGAGTTTGCCATAACTAAAGTATATGTGCATTAAACCTTATCAGTTATGAATAAAAAAAAATACTATTGTAAAACATTAATTTTGTGATAAAATTAAGAGGTTTTATTGAACCTACCCTTTAGATGCCTGCTGAGCTAGGTAAATGGAGGCTCTGTAATTATATTAAATAAATAAAAAAATAACTTTTTAATTTTTTTTAACTTAAATCTATCCTAAATAAAACAACATTTAAATTTATGTGCATTTTTTGTACTAATAACTAAATACTCATACAACATAAATATAAGGGATAATTGAACAGGCAAACATTCTACAATTTATATCATTTTTCAAATATACCCAAGTCATATGGTATTTAAAAACTTAAATTCTGAACATGGGAATTTAATTCGTTCCTAAGAAGGGAAAATTCAGCCATAAAACGTGATATATAAAATTTTACATATTTAAAGCTTCTTCTTTTCTTTTTCAATTTTTATTCATTTTCAACCATAAAATTTAAGGAAAATTAATGTTAATTTTTATAATTTACTTATGAATATTGTTTTAATTTTTTGAAGTGCATTAAATCTAGCATTCACCAATTTTTTCATAGTGTAATAGATGTAAATAAAAATATTTTCAGCCACCTTGCCAACAAAAACTGGTACCTTCTATCAAATGTTTGGCATTCCTCATTGTTATTGGTGCTAAGCCAGAATGGAAGTGAGTGTTCATAAGATTATTTTACTGATTCCCTTTAATCTGAAATTCTGCAAAAATTTTGAGAATAAAATGATGAAGGTGTAATACTGTTTAAAAATTCGTAAGGGTTCCGCGGAACCCAGTGTCTCGCCTACTTTTGCTGTTAATCGCAGGCTCAAAAAAAATGAGGAAAACAATTAATAAAAATATTTCTCTCTATACTATCTTTTGATTGTAAGTAGCTTCTGTCCAAGTTTGGTAAAAATCCAGGATAGTTTATGAATCTAATAAATGTTTTAAAAACTTAAAGTGCAGACTGTATGTAATGTTAACTGGAAGAAAAACTAAGTCCATTTATAAGTAAAATACGGAAAAAATGGATTTTTTTTTTTACTTTTTTACAAAATTTACTTCTGGATACTATCTTTTGATCATAAACAAGCTTCTTTCCAAGTTTGGTAGAAATCCAGGATAGTTTAAGAAAGTTATTAAAATTTCAAAAACTTTAACCACAGAGTGAATGTAATGTTTCATGGCAGAAAAACTAAGTCCATTTATAAGTAAAATACGGAAAAAATGGAATTTTTTTTTTACAAAATTTACTTCTGGATACTTTCTTTTGATCATAAACAAGCTTCTTTCCAAGTTTGGTAGAAATCCAGGATAGTTTAAGAAAGTTATTAAAATTTCAAAAACTTTAACCACAGAGTGAATGTAATGTTTCTTGGCAGAAAAACTAAGTCCATTTATAAGTAAAATACAGAAAAAATGGAATTTTTTTTTTACAAAATTTACTTTTGAATATTATCTTATGATCATAAACAAGCTTCTGTCCAAGTTTGGTAGAAATCCAGGATAGTTTAAGAAAGTTATTAAAATTTCAAAAACTTTAACCACAGAGTGAATGTAATGTTTCTTGGCAGAAAAACTAAGTCCATTTATAAGTAAAATACGGAAAATATGGAAATTTTTTTTTTACAAAATTTACTTTTGAATATTATCTTATGATCATAAACCAGCTTCTGTCCAAGTTTGGTAGAAATCCAGGATAGTGTAAGAAAGTTATTAAAATTTCAAAAACTTTAACCACAGAGTGAATATTTGTGGACGCCGCCGACGACAACGACGACGACGACGCCGACGGAATGTAGGATCGCTATGTCTCGCTTTTTCGACAAAAGTCGAAGGCTCGACAAAAAGCACACACATACAATTTTGTTAACCACTGTGTATAAATTGGAAAATATTCAAAAGTTCTAAAAATAAATCATATTAAAAATTCTATGCAGGAAGGTCACATGCAATCATACCAATATCATACCAAATGTACAAACTGTTTATTTGATTGACAAAAGTCAATTTGAATATTACTAGTTATATTTAAAATACAATCCAGTAAAAAATCAAACTTGATCACATTGGGTCCAGTTGGTAGGGAAAGTTAAATCTGAAACCCCAGTTTTGGAAAATGCAATGAACCCTTGCAATGACTCCTTGAGGGGTCCATATGTGACATATTTAAGCAAATTTCTACCAATATCTAGAGTCTCTTATCTGATTTTGCTCAGTATTTTCATTCACTCACACCAACATAGAAAATGTGACTGATTTTAAAACAAAACAAAATATTTCGAATTAATTTTTACATCTTTAAACGTTACTTTTGTCATAAATTTGGTATAATAAAGGTATATCATATCAATATATATAGGGGAAATATAGGTTAATACAAATATTCCAGCACCACAAGCAGAACTAGATCTAGCTAAGTAAAATACAAACACATACCGGCCACTTTGGTTGAAACTGTAAAATGTTAGATTCACATGCAACATTTACACAACATATATCAAACAATATCTATACAGAAAATATGTCTAATTAAATTAATACTACCACAAACATTACGCCATAAATCAATATACATGGTAAACCAACTATTTTTTGTATATAAAATACCCCAAAAGGCATAAGCCAGTGCACACCATGAAAGACCCTCAGAAATCAAAGTAATTAAACATCCCTATAGTAGAATTTTTCTCGAGTGATTAATTCATTTGACATTTACGAGAAGAAAAAATGATGCGAATACCAATGTATGTCAATGAAAATCTCAAAAAACTGCTGCAAAGTTGTTTAGAAGGAACTTAATTTGAAAAGAGTATTGGACAAAATTAGGTTGGTTTACAGTACACTGAGAATACAATTTTCCTTGTAATTATAAAACATTTGAAAGAAAATCAAATATGTAGTACTTTGCTGGACTCATCTTAAGTTATATGCATACATTATTTATAGTCAATTACTCTTAAAGAGAGGCGAAGGATACCAAAGGGACATTCAAACTCATAAGTCGAAAATAAACTGACAACGCCATAGCTAAAAATGACAAAGATGAAAATAGTTTATTAAATGCTGGATGCATTCATTTACTTATTTGTGAGTTTTAAATAAACATGAGGTCAATAAACAGACTTAAGGAATTTGCATGTAGCTGCATTTGCATATCATATATATATATAATTTAAGCTGTTGAGGATAGAGTTACATATTTTGCATACCTATATTTAAGTAAAACGCTAAACATGTTGCCAATTTGTAGTATATGCTATTAAAGCTTGTTGCAATAGGTTAACATACATGTATATATGAAATATCAATATTTCTTTAGCTGTCTTAAAAGATATTTCTGGTTGACTTGAGGTTTAACTCTATCATGCTAATTTTCCTATTAAAGGTTTAAGTATAAACATGCCACGAAGACATTCAGTTCAAGTTAGGGTACATGCTTTGAATATCTGACTACATATATAACATTAAGTTTGATTATATTCTGTTGTTCATGCAGCATGTCATTGCATGCATCATATTTCTTTAAATAAAACAACAACAACAAAAAACATTCTCTTTATTAAGAATTTCACATGTGCCAAATGAACAAGCCTTCCATTCTAAGTAGACATTAGCATTCAAAATACTTAAAGAGAACAGATATGGTTAAATATTAAAGGAATGTATAGAAGGAAACATGAATAACATTGATTATATTTGAGACACAAAAAAGCATGATAAAACTTGTTACCTCAGATAACCCTTGATATTGAAAAATTAATAAACACAATTCCTGTACATGCTGTTGCATTCTAAAATGAGTTTTAATAATTTGGTTACCATCCTTTTAGTATTTTTTTCCACATTAATATAAACATTTCTTAATATACAGTCCCCAATACATAAACTTCAAAAACGAAAAATTTTAAACTCTAATTTTGATATACATTCTATTATACATACGCAGGTATTGGTGGTCCACCTCCCGGTGCAGTTGGTGCTGGTCTGTTTGGAATGGATGGTGCCGGTCTAGATGGCATTGATGATCCACCAGGACCTGGTCGGTTTGGCAATGGTGGTGGTGGTCCACCCCTGGATGGTTTCGGTGATGATGGTCTTGACCCGCCTCTGTAATATAGTACATAGAAAATGTTTTATTTTCCATCAAATTGGCTCACAAGAGTCTCTAAATTAAGATACATATTTCATATAAAAACACATTTATTTTTTTAAATAGGTCAAAAGCTTATTTCATGTTCAGATTTAAATGAAAACTTTAACTGTTATTCTCATAAATGTGTGCATTTTTTTAAAAATCATAATGTGTCATACTGAGAATACATTATTCAATTTGAAATACAAATATTGAAATTTCCCTACACAAGCTTTTCTAAGCTGAAGCCCGCCTCCAGGTGTGGGATTTTCTCGCTTTGTTGAAGACCCATTCTACACTTTGGTCAGGTTGTTGTCTCTTTGACACATTCCCCATTTCCATTCTCAATTTTACTCTTTAGCAGCCATTCAAATTTGTCTTTTAACAGTGATTTCTTCAAAAGTTTAATTCATACAAATATTTCAAAATCATTTAAAAAACTACAGAATTTTTTAATTTCATGGTGAAAATTTCTGTTAAAGCAACGTAAAATAATTTCAGGACAATTTTTTTTATATGTGTTTTTATATGAAATATACAGTAACTATAGAGATGTAATAGTTTTGACTTCTAACTGCACGGGTGGATCCAGGATTTATGAAAGGAGAATGTAATAAATAATGGCAATTGAAGCAAGTCAAAAAAATTTCGGACTATTATATGCTTAAAACAAATGGGGAATGTGTCCATGGGACACAGATGATGCACCCGCTTGCATATACATTATAAAGGAACATAATTCAAGAACAGTAAAACTGACGCTACCCAAATTTGTACTTGATCTGAGTTTTATGGTAATAAGCATTGTGTATAAATTTCATAACATTTGGTTGAGGCAAACTTAAGTTAGAGAACGGAAACGAAAAATTCAGCAATTTTTCCATTTGTAAAGGGGCACAATTCTAGAACGGTAAAAGTGACGACAACAAAATTCACACTTGATCTGTGTTTTGTGGTAATCAGCATTGTGCATAAGTTTCATAACATTTGGTTGAGGCAAACTAAAGTTAGAGAACAGAAACAAAAATTCAGCAATTTTCCATTTGTAAAGGGGCATAACTCTAGAACGGTAAAAGTGACGCTACCCAAATTCAATCTTGATCTGTGTTTTATGGTAATAAGCATTGTGTATAAGTTTCATAACATTTGGTTGAGGCAAACTAAAGTTGGAGAACGGAAACCAATTTTGGGACATACGGACGGACGTACAGACGGACAAGGGTAAAACTTAATGCCCCCTCCACTATGGCGGGGGCATAAAAATCATATAAATAGTGAGAAACATGATATATTTTTTCAAAATTTGGCAGTAAAAGGGGGTATAAACCCTCAATTCCCTATCCTAGATCCGCCACTGGACTGTCCTACATACCCATTAGTTGTTTGATCAATATGTAACCAGTCATTATCTACAGGAGGGGGTGTAGGTGTCGAATTCGTTGTTACATTTATATCACCAATAATTGCTAGAGCTTCCTTTGTGGCATGATACATTCTCAACAACTCCTCTCTTCTCTGAGCCTCTTCTTGGGATTCCTCCATTAATGATTGCTGTTTAGAATACAAAAATTATCTTAATACTGGAAAGAATTATCATTGACTAATTGACAATTTCATTGACTGCATATTTTTTTAATCCAAAAATTTTAATAACAAGAAAAATACATAACTTTTGTCAACTTATTCTGATTGATGTTTAAAGCATCATTAAATAATTCATGAACAAGAACTCTGTTTCTCTAATTTTTTCACTATTTTCACATTTTCCAACCGATTGTGAAAAAATTGTTCTCCTCACTAGTGAAATATCTGTTCTCAGCAAATGATTGGTCGAAATTTAATTATGACGTCAAATTTTCTTGGTGTATTCTGAATTTCCTATTGTAACGTCATGAAAAAAGGCGACCATGTCTGAAGACGTCACATATAAAGAACACAACTTTCTGCAAATCTTTGAAAAGGAAGGATAAAAACCATTAGAGAAACAGATTCCACCACTATAACTCGTGTATTACGATATTTCTCCACTCCCACTAGGTAAATCTTAATTATTTAAAAAGCTTGGCAAGCCTCGCGCTTTAAATATTAAAATCTAACTGTCTCGAGTGGAGAAATATCGTAACACACTTGTTGCAGTGGTGGAATCTATATTTCTTAACATTAAGAACACTGTCACATATGATATGTACTTAAACTGAACAACAGATCACGTAAGAACAAGCTGAAGATTTTATTATACCTGATCAACAGTTGAGTATAGATGTGCCATTAATTCTGCTCCTATAAACTCTTGTACCTGAAAAAAAAAGAAGAAAATTACTTATCAGGTAATATATATGATAATTATTTCAAATAAAAACATCAAGCTTATGCCCAAATCACAATTTATTATTATCAATGGTTTATTCCATGATTCACAAATAGGTCAAAATCAAGGCTTCCAAAACGGTCATATATTCCGGACATTTGTATAATGTCCGGTAAAAGTCCGGCTGGGCAAAGCATGAAATGGACATCTACTTTTTAGTTTTCAAGGCTTTCTTAAGAGACGGTCATTTTAACATAATTCGCTATCTTTTTGACCCAACCTTTTGCCTTTAACAGCCACACATTTCCGGTCATAAAAGTGACATGATCATTAAGTACTATCAAAACAACCCCTACTTTAATACCTTCTCATTTTAATCAAGGCTAATTAGTTGTCGAACAGCTGAAATTTACCTGTTCAGGTGACAGGTAAACTATTTTGAACCGGACATTGATCGGTCTATTCAAAGTTATTTTCTTACATTTCAGCGGTTTGCATCTAATTAATTTAGTCAAAAAGATTTAAATTATCAGAAATACGTTTACAAATATCATTTGATGAAAAAATTAAAAAGGTGAAAATGAAAAATCGTCATAACCACGTTGATTGAACCAGAGACATGTTTGAACTAGTACATGTGTGCGTAGGTGTGAAATTTAATTATGCAGCCTAATTTCATCAAAAAATGCTTAAATTGTCATAGATACCTTTATCTCATGTTTATTTCGAATATTTTCTTGAAGAAATAACCTGGGACTATTATACTAACAGTTAGTATAATAGTCCCAGAAATAACGTAGAAAGAGCTACTTACACTCATTCATGCTTTGCAAACGTACACCGAATTTACGTATCCGTCTATGGTCCATGTTTTACCATTATCAAGATAACATCCGGTTTAAAAACGAAAGTAAAGTTTTTGACAATGTCATTTTGCCCAAATAAAGAGTCTAAGGCAGATATAGGTACGCTGATGTTGCACACTTCGAATGATGCACTGCCAATTTAAACAGTTTACGTCAGAACTTCGAATTTGAATCAAAGAAAGTTTAATATCGCTTTTTTTTATTGTCAATCATTGGGATGTCCAACTCGGCAACTGATTACCAATATTGCCTTTTGTTTATTTAGTCTTAAGGGATTAAAATCGGGATAATATAAAAAATGTCCGGCTGGCTAAAAATAATTTTGGAAGCCCTGGTCAAAATGCAAATTATGATAATGACCAAGTGCTTCTTCATGCAAAAGTTTGGTCACATATCAGGTTCGTTTGTTAACTTAATAATCCAAGTTACATGTATGTCAGTTTTGGGGAGACAGGTACTATTCATAAATGAAAGCCTGGTAGAACACACCTCCTGGCCAATGTTCTCACCAGGGCCTTTTAGCATCATGATAGTGTGATGCTATATTATTAGAATGTGATGTTATCTGAAATAAGTTTCTTATAGATAATGTTATGGATGTGATGATATTGTTTCTAGAAACAATATGGTATTTCATAATTACTTGTATGCCACGATGATATAAGAAATTTCTGAGGAGAACACTGCTGTTTGTTTTAATTTATTACAAAGAAGGTCACAGGGCCAATCATTATTGGACTGACTGGTACCTTCAATATCAATAGCTTATTAAATCATTATGATCTCAGGTACCAGAGTTACATTCCTTTAACTAACTGGTACTTACATTGTTAACACATAGGAACATGATGGTTTTGGGTACCAGATCTCTCTGAGTTTTGTTCACTATTTTCATGTAGGAATCTACTAAATTTCTAATAGTCTCAACCTGTCTTTCAAGTTGTGGATCCATAGAACCAATATCATCCTTAGCCTGAAAACAAATATGAAATAGAACTACTAATTTATACATTCAGTATGATTTATTCACTTAACTAAAGAATATTCCTCTAGAATTATATCTAAATAGTTTCAAGTTATGAGTGTTCAAAGTGATAAATGCTTAATTGTTGTTAAACGAAATTATTTTCACAAAACTAAAATTTAACCTTCTTTTTAAGGAATAGGATTTGAAAAATGCATTCCAATCCTGGACATTTGGATTCTGATTTTTTTTTAAACTAAAGACCTAAATCTTTTCCATCAATTTCTGATTTTTATGTTTTTGCAAGTAAAATAAAGACTATTCAATTTAAACTATTCATTTTATTTAACAAATTAAAACATAACAGAATAGAGATTTGTTAAAGCAATGTTGCTTGTTTCTATAAATCCTAGATATTTATTTCAAGTGTATTCTATTGTTATGTGATGATTTATCTGAATAAATATAGTTTAAACTAAACAATACAGTTTTTAATATAACAGACACATATCTAAACTCTATCAAAACAAGCTAATGCTGTAAAGAGGGAAATTTTTGGAAGGTGTTTAATTTCCTTTTATATTTCGCAATTGGTATACAATCATGAAAATGTTCCCAATCTTGTACATTTTATCTTTAATATGTAGGATATGAATGAAAAAAAAAGTAAAACACGGAAAAATTGCAACCTCCCAAACAGGTTTAGTCTTTGAAATCATGAAAATAATCCATTTTACGGTTCTCTACCATAGCAAGCTTTTATCAAAATTATGTGTATGGCACTATCTTAATAATCTTAAGTAATGGAAAGCAACATTATTCAGGATTACTTGATTATAAATACTAGTTTCCCTTCCCTTTCACAGTTTGTGTCCTACTACAAATGTAAGTATAAGCTGATATACAATTATATAGTTATACTATATGGTAGAGAAAACTAAGAGAAGTTTCTACTACTAATTAATATAAAAGTAGCTGTAACATGCATGTTAAATAAGAAATACAAAACAAATTGATGTGATTAAATTTGTGTACATTGTATTAAAATAATTATTGTAAATCAAAATAAATATTGTAAAGTAATTTTTTGTTATACAAAAGTACTGATTTTGATCTTGCAAGTGTTTTTTTTAATATCTCCATTAAACTGACTCTTTTGAAAATAAAGACAATGATCTCACAGGTATTTTTTTTTAAATATTGCCAAATCAAACAGTGTTGTATTACTTAAAATCAAGTCTCTCTGTATAAGTTTACATTTTGTTAACAATTAGACCCGAGCCTGTACACTCTGTGAACACAATTTTTTATTGCTTAAATACTTGTACTCTGCTAAAATTATCAATATCTTGTATGCTGTATAAGAGGTCTTATTAATGTCACTTGATAAATGAATAATATAAATTTCAGCAATATATAAAAAAGTAGAGTAGATGATACAGGAACCCAACAACAATTTTGTTTTTAACTTGCAAACTTGTAAATACTGCCAGAATTTTCATCTTTGTAAAATGCTGACAAAAAGCAAAAGAAGAAATACTAGCTAAAATTTATAAATAAATGTTTTCACAGTCATGGTTCACTTCTAATAAGCATCTTTCATAAATGGCCTTTCACACATCAAAATAAAAATTCACTTCTAAACATGATAATAAACATTCAGTTGTCTCCCTTACCAAAGGTAAACTATGGGAGACAATTCTTAATTTTCTTACTTACAAATTTTGATATAAGGAAGTTACTTGCCAATTAAAAAAAAAAAAACTAACCTTCATTGAACTAGTACACATTTTTGTTTAGGGGCCAGCTGAAGCCCGCCTCTGGGTGCAAGATTTTCTCGCTGTGTTGAGGACCCATTGGTGGCCTTCGGCTGTTTTCTGCTCTTTAGTCGAGTTGTTGTCTCATTGACACATTCCCCCTTTCCATTCTCAATTTTATTTAATACTATTATATATACATATACATTTGATACTGAGCTGATTTTCACAACATGTATGTAAATATTCAAGAAATTCCATATCAAAGTTTCATTTTAGTGAAAAAGCCACCAAAAACATGCGAGTGAACTACAAAACACTACAATTATTAGAAAAGCTATACCCATGAATGTAAAACATACAGATACATGTACAACAAAAATTCTCATGGGTGTCAATCATAGAATTTAAGAACTGATTCCAACTCACAACTGATGTCCTCAAGCATAACAGTACAAGTATAAATTATTTAAAAGTCAAAGAAGAAGAAGGAGAACTCATTTCATGTAAGAAAAGTAAAATCATAATACCTCTTTTTGGAGAAGAAAACAAATCTAAAACTTTATGAAGACCACAAGAAAATATAGAAAGCAAAAGAAGACACAAATTGTCTCTTGAGAATGATAAATTTAGCATTTTTATTTCTAATTTAAGTAATAAATAATCAAATCACTAAAATTTATGTAACAGCATAAAATTCTCACATTTCCAGAAAGGCTGTCATAGTTTGCTCTTCTAACACAATCATGATTGAGGACATTAGAAGGTTGAATACAAGCTCATTTTTGTTGTTTTTTTCTTATTCAGAAATCAAAAATAGTATTTGCAAATTAAATTGTACTCTCAAATGACTAAAATATTACCAAAATTACCTTGTTGCATTCTCAACAAAAGACAACAACCATGAACATTAACACTTATAAAAATTGGAAAATAAAAGGTTTCTTTTAGGAAGACTAAATTTACAGTAATAAATTAAATCAACCTCTAATTTGCATAATTCTGATTCAGTATAAGTTACATTCAATATTTTAACACCATAACATACAGGCATTACTGCTTTCATAAGAATAATTTCAACATACCCTTCCAGACTAAAAATAAGAAACAAAATTATGGTTATTCTTAACTGAAAAGGAAAAGGCTACAAAATGAATTAGCCTTTTAAGAATTCAATGCATTCTGGGTTATATTTTCATAAACATGTGATTAATTTATTTTCATTTTGATGTACAAACAATGAAAATACCCACAATGCTTTGTATTCTTAAACTGCCAATAGCTACACAGAATCTTCTAAATTAACAAACTATCAATAAGTACATAACCATGAGGGGAATTCCATTTAATAATACAAGTAACCAAGGAAAGGCACTCTGAAAATAGGAAAGCATTCAATTAATCTTTATAATATACTAATCTTATGCATACTCCTATTCAATAAATGTTTTGAATACAAACCAATAGATCAGATTTTAAGTATATTTTTTATGTGGCTTGTATAATTTAATGGAATGTTCCCAAGTTTCTTTACAAGGGCCAGCTGAGTTAAAAGGGAAGTAGCACACATTTTCATTAATACACAAATAAATACTGCCAGCTATGAAAAGAGAACTTTTGTTCTTCTATTTTTAGCATTTCAAGTTTCTTTAAAGACAATAATAATTTTGTGCATTATTTAATACTACTGATGAAATTTAATTTCCAATGAATAATAATAATTCAACAGTATTTAAAATGGTTCAATCAAAGTAACTTATAATATTTAAAACCTTCTAAATAGATTACAATATATGGCAGTCTTTCTTTGTATAAGAGAACTGAAAAGAAACTGAAGGAGGAATGTACGGTAACTGTAAAATGTACATTGACATGTCTCAATTAAAAAAGAAACTGAAAGAGGAATGTACGGTAACTGTAAAATGTACATTGACATGTCTCAATTAAAAAAGAAACTGAAAGAGGAATGTACGGTAACTGTAAAATGTACATTGACATGTCTCAATTAAAAAAAAACTGATTTTTTTTTTCTATTTTATGACACAAACTGGTTAAAACTTCTAAGTTTGAAAATTTTGAATATTTTGTCATCTACATTTGTTCTAACCTTGTTATTTGAAAGGATTTCTAAAATCTTTTTTTTCACGACAAATAGTTTGAATGGTCAGGTTTGATAATTTTCAGCCAAATGTCATTGTACATAAACAAACAATGAAATAAAAGTATTCAAATCTATTCTACAGGTAAAATAAACAATGTGAAGTTTAATCAATAGGCATAGGATATAGTCTGTCCATACTGAGCTTGTGAAGGAGTGAGTTCAGTAAGGGTTACAGTTGAAACCAAATATTAAGTCCATATTAAGTCTATTGTTGAAAGCTAAAAAATATTTTCAAGTTGATGAAAAGACACGTCAGTCAGTGAAATTGAACTATTTTTGTTAAGCTTTTCTTGTAACATGTTTATATTTACAAATAAAAGATGCCAAAAGTAGATTTTTTTGTAAATTAAACAAATCTTTCTGAATTTAATCAAATTTTGGCCTATGAAACATAGAGTGCAGACTTCGACAAATTAAACATTCAAGTAATATAAGTAAAATGTTATAACAAACTTTATGCTCAAAGATCTTTTTGTCAACGCATGCGCTCTATGAATTCCAAAGCTCTATGTGAACAGACGTTTAGTGCAATAAATTCTATATTTTTTGGAAATTGCTAAAGTAAGGTTGTTAAACAACATCCATTCTGGACCTTTTCATAATATGTCATTATTTTTAGCATTTCAATTCATATTTGCAGGCTATAACTTATACCACAATGCATTGTAATTTCCCACAATGCCCTACTTACAGTAGTATTTCCTTCTTCCTGTGACCTGTCAGGGTATACTCCAGCCCTGAGAAATGATGCCTTCCAGCTGTCAATGTCGTCTTGTGATTCTCCAGATAATTCTAATTGTTTATAATCTTTATATACGTTTCTGTAAAATAAAAATAAGGACTATCATTTCAAAATAACTATTAGAAGATTGAAATCATTTCTAAGGGTATTTTACATAATGGGTAACACTGATGACCTTGCAATAGACCCATTTCATAAACTATAGTAACTTTATGATGCATATAAACACTTAATTAATACATGGTTGAAAAACCAATGATTTCTTTTTATAGTACACAAATAAAGCAAGAATTCATATTCAGCTGACTCAGTATGACTTAAAAGTATGTCATAAAATTTGGGTGCTTGTCTATTGTGAAAGATGTATGTTGACCTCCAAATAAGAACATGAGTAAATTGTAATAAAACAAATGAAGCACTTTTTTATTAGAAAAAAAAAAGATCTGAAAAAAAAAAAAAAAAAATGAAAAATACAGTATAAACATTCGGCTGCCATTCTGTCTTTTTTTCTTCTTTTTCCTTCTTTTTTCAAGTTGTGGTTGCTGAACCTTATACATTTAGTGGTCTTACCACTGACTAGCAGCAGAACCGTAGCTCATAGGTCTTTATGATATTTTTTAACAATTTGCGGACCATACTGGCATAGTGGCTTATTGCATTACTTCTGATCATTATCAACATTGATATAAACATGACATGAGACTATTGACACATTTTAAAAACATATTCATATTACAAGATAACAGATATTGCTACACAATCTACATTAAAATCTATTTATAACTGGCTAACTACCATAAAAATTATGTTTCCTTGTATAAGCAGTGAATAATTGAAGTTAAAGCAGGTTACTAGTGACTAAGATAGCAAACTGTACTTAAGGTGTACTGATATTTATTACGATTACACTGTAATAACTTTCTGCAGACACTTGTTAAATAAGCATTTATATAGTAACATTAATAAATCAATCTATATTTTGAACATTTTTGGCTTTGCTTCAACTGTCTTAATCAGTCTATAATAGAACAATAAGATTGACCTGTAATGCCACAAAGTTTCCCTTGCAAAGTAAAATAATCATAGAAACTATGTATGGAGTCTTTGTTGCCAAATGGTTTAAATAATTGATCCAGAACCTACTTGTCATGATAGAGTATGTCAAATAGATGCCAAGTAGTTTACCCCGAGTACTTTTTAAAGTTTCCTGTATGGATCATAACCTTTTGCTTAGTTTGCTAAAGAAGATGTGATTTCAGTGATCATGATGAAATTGTGCATATGTTTTAAAACGTACCAATTATTAAGTACAATGATAAATAAATTTACAAGGTACGATTCAATCAAATGTATTAATAAAATCCAATGCCAATTAGAGACATTAGAATATTTATATTTAGTAAGCACTAAAGTGACAAAATCCTACATTAAAATAAAAGTAAATGAACAAAGATTTAGAAAGAAAGAAAATGAAATTAAGCAATATTTTATCAAGTTGAGTCTTGAAAGAAATAATAACTATCTTTGTATCACCTGGAAAACTAACCCTGATAACGGTTTTCTAATTCCACAAATATGAATTGATATTCCAGTTAGTGAACAATAGTATTTTTGGGAATGTACATATTTACAAAATTGTTTAATCTAAATGAATAAACTAGAATCATAATATATGGATATATTTTGAACTGATCAGAATAACATCATAATATTAATTGAAAAAATATACTTAAAACAGTTTTTAAAGAAATTTATATAAAATATTGCTCTAATTTTTTCTTAGAAGACTACCACCACAGCAAACTGATTAAATATAACGCACCTACTGTTGCCATGCCAACCTTACCTTGACTCAGGGTTAAATATAGCAAACATGTTCTTATGTGAGAACAAACCGCCCTCCATGTCCCTAATCTTTAAACCATCTAAAGGAATCATAAATTTCTTCTCTTTCTCCTAGAAATTAATATCAATAATAATACAAAAAAATTTGCTTCCATTTAGGTCAAGTTCATGATGGTGCAATACTTATCTGCTGCCATAGCAAGACCAATCAATGTTAAGGCTACTGTGGACATAAGGAGTTTCTTCATTGGATAAATGACATCACAAGAAATACTTATATGTTGCGCTTCACAATAATAATGTTTAGATAAATATTGACATAAGCATAAATTGAATTTTATTTTTACATATATATCAAATAAAGAATATAAATTAATTCAATGAAATATTTTAAAATTTTGTAAATAAATAAGCATAATTTATTCATTGGCAGAAATAATATGCATTCTGAACATTTCTTATTTGTGAAACACAACAGAAATATCTTTCTGGTGATCTCCTTTGCATGTGCAGGGTCAAACTGGTGTTGTATTGACTCAAAATGAGCTCTGCACAAAAAACTAATAATCAGTCAATAGTACCAGTTTACAAAATAGCAAGTTGGGAAGGTTAAAGGGAATGACCTAACCTGTTATCATTATTGAAAAGGGCAAAACCTTTTCTTCTGCTCAAAATTCCTGAGTCACCAGTGTCCCGTACTTTAAGGTTATCTAATCCTAACATGTACTTCTTGTCTTTCTCCTAGAATGTTAGAAAACATGAAAAGCTAGTGGGTACAAAATGTGCAACACAATCAAATCCAAGCATGCCAATACAAATCTACAGGTATAAAATGAAAATGAGAAGAACTTCAGCGACATGCAGCAATAAAACTAATAAAACAGAAGCTATAAACTATATAGTTATTTTCTAGAGGCTATGTTTTTAAAATGGAAAGGGGGAAGACTAAGGTGCTCAAAAATGCACATGCTGTATTAAATAGGTTGATCCATTTTCACCAGAAGTGGTTGTACAACATTGATTGATACCTATGTTCTGAAGAGAAAAGAGCAAAAGTTGGACGCCTAGACAACATTTTTTCAACATCTCGGACTTTAACACTTTCCAGCGCTAACATGTATTTCTTGTCTCCTTCCTGAAAGTAACATATTAGTAAGGCACACTCAATTATAGCACAAACAGATTTTGAAAGTTGGTGAAAAATCATTATTACTTTTTTGCATAATATACATTTGAAAGGGAAAAAAAAGCAGAACTTTACACATTTATCTGGTTTTCAAAATACGATTGGAATTGATTTGTTGTGGGGAAGGTTAAGATTAAACAAAGTAGTGAAACCTCATTAGTTTGTGTGTCTGTCCCAAGTCAGTACACCAATTTTGTCCTTCATGATTTAGAGAATAAGGAATTGGTAGCAGAACTTAAATAAAAAAAAAAAATCTAGACTTTGAGCAATTTAGAGGTTGTTATACCGATCAGATGTCATTGTTTTTTTTGTGTGTTCCTGTTTTATTGTCTAAATGAAATACATCCCATAAGTCTTTTTACCATTATCTAATCTTAACCTGTAGTCAGATCGTTTTTAAAGGATTTTCAGTTCTGCTAAGCTAATTTCTCAAAATCACTGTCCTAAAAAATCATATAGCATATTGCTTGAAATTTACAGTTATTTTTAACATTTGTTGTACATTCTATACAATTCACAATGCTCCTGTTACTACATGTAGGTTTTAAAACAAAATGAATGCTATTAATTCAAATAATTCATATTCCAAACTAAATTCAATGTGTATTTGTGCTTTTTTGGCCACTGCCTGAATCAAGGGCAGACTTCATTCAACTCAGCAATGTGACCTTCACCTGGAAGGTCATTTTAATTTTATAGTTGATAATAATCATAATAATATAAAAGGCCTGTACGTAATGTTCAACTCTGTAATAATCTGTATGCCTGCCAAATTTCATTAAAATCTATGACACTATTTATTAGAACCAAGTTTTTGACCATACAATTTTAAAAACATTAAGTTCTGACAATTTTAGATTTGAAATGTCTGCAAATAATTTACCCTTTTCTCCTCTGCTTATAGATTATCCATGGTATTTCAAAAGAAAAGGTGGTTGTCAGCTAAAATCTCTTTCAATGGGATAAGTTGTAGCAGAGAAACATCTTCTAGTTTGAAAGACCATTGTTAAACTGTTTATCGCTATTTACCTAAGCTTCGTCAATGATGTAGGCTCACGACATCATACATTCTCATTCTACGCGACTGAGAAAAACCCATATCACTCAAGTAGCGTGATATTAAAATTTATCACAAAAAAAAAAGATTAAAAGCAAAAAATTTGAGAAAATAAGAGATAAAAAAGAAAGCTTTACAACACATAACATATAATAAGGAACAACAATGACAGTTTTGTACCAAAGTATTTATCTAGAAAATAGTAAGAGTTGAAGTTGTAGTTGATTGAAGGTCCTAGATCTTCTTTAACTAATCAACACAAGAAACATGCCACTTATTTGCAGATCAGTTTGTCTTTTTTTTTTTAATTTTCTACACAAACTTTGTACAAAATTTGAAAAAAATTATATTTTACTAGAAAATAATCTATTAAAGCAGTCTGAATTTTTTATTAAATATGCACTATAATTTACTACTAAACAGACTTATATATGAATTAACTTTAAGATAACAGAATTTGATTTTCTTGATGTCAAAAACTAAAGCATTTCTGAGATAGTCTTTTTTTCAGCCAATCTCATTTTAAACACACACGTCACATAATTACATCATAAAGTTAAGTATATTTGAAATTAAAAACATGTTGTCTTCATGAAATATGAACCTAAAGGTAATCTTACCAGATGACAGTTTTTTCAGCAGGGTAAGGGAGTATGAATAGAAAAGTGTGGTCAAATTATTTATGTGGAAATCTGTTAAAACATACCATTTGTTTAATCATGTCTATGAGAAATGCTTGGCAGATGCAAAGAAATTTTTTTATGTGATATAACTTTTTCAACTGCCATACTGAAACAACTACTAACCCTGAACCAATATCAAAATTTCTGAACAAATCTTTCATTAATTTAAAAGACTATTTGATTTTTTAAGATTGTGTTGTTCAGCATATTTTAACTTCTGTATACAGGTATATATTTTAATAAATTCTGTCAGAATTAGAAGATGTTCTTTTCCTACATTAAAAATCCTCTTCTTCAGAGCTCGATATATATATTTTTTTTCATTATTTGTTAATGAAGAAATACAAAATAAATATTTGTTAGTGTTCATCTACATGTAGTAATATACATGTAGGTTATCAAATAATTTGAAAAATTTATCAATCTGCATTGAAGGCAAATTGTTAATCTTGTTAGTATTTTCCTTGCCAGAACAATGCTCATGCTGTTAATTAGGTAGCTAATCTTCATGCTGTTAATCCAGTTATTAGCCATTGCAATTAACCTAAAATTATGGTCATTTTTTTTAATAAATGAAGGGTGGGGTGGGGGGTTGTTAGGGTTGGAAGGTATTTCTTATCTTTAATGACCAACCATGCATATAATTTCAAAAGATTGTGTATTATAAGTTTCCTACTTTTAATACTTTAAAAATTGATGCAAAAGCTTTAAAATTACAAATTGCTTAAAAACATTTCTTATACATTTCTTGTTAATTAACTTCACAACAATCATTTCAGAGAACATGCAAAATACTTGCACTAAGGAATTCAAAATCTGACAACAGTATGTACAAGTTCTATAACCTTGACCTATAAAACTCATAGTACAGGGAGAAAAGGTCAATTGCATGTTAAGTTTTGGCAACACATGCTAGTACAGTAAAAAAGCAAAATTTCTTTCTAAAATCATTAATTTTTACAAGAAACCAATGCTCAAAGAACAGTTATTCTACCAGTACAGCTTCTACATACAAAACCTACAGCATTTCTCTAAAACATATCATGGTCTGCAACAACACTAAATGCAAGGTAATGTAAGATTGGCCGATCTCTTTCATATTAGAGATAGCATGTAAACACATATACACATGCAGTTATTTGCAATGGACACAAAGTATACAGCTTTAGTCATGAAAGGATTAAGAAGTACATGAAACAGATCACAAATGTTAAATGATACAGTGGATTCATTTATTTTATGGATACTTATTTTCATGGAGTCAAGATAAACATAGGAAATTTTGAATTTGAATTTACGGTTCACTTATACCCACAAATCCATAAAATTTAGTACCCGCAAATAATAATGAACCCAAAGTGACATATTTATATATATTCAAGGATAACTAGGCTGATGGCAGTTCAATAAATCTTTCAGTAATCATGGTAATAACTACTCGACAATCACATTAAACCATAAAATTATGTTTCTATATAAATTCATACATTTACAAAAATATGAATCATAATTTTAAGTTTGAAATGCTGACTTGCATGTAGATATCAAAAAAGTTTAACCTTGGGCTTCTAAGTTCAACATCAAAATATTCTACTTTTCATTTCCCTTTGGGTTTCAATCATTTGATCATGATCAGGAGTACTGCTGATGAAGACAAAATCAGGACATCTTTTTGTACACCCTCCCTATACCTTTCAAAAGTTTGACAATGATTTGATTTACCAATATTATAAATATTTTGGATAGAACTTTACAATTTATGAACATTTGTAAATTTACTAAAATAAGGTGAATCATAACAAAGTGAATTTGGCAAATTTGTTTTTTATGTTATTCTTTTCAAGGTAAAGCAGATGAGAATATTAACATTACACATCTACATAATATGAGAACTTATGTTCATATGATGGCATTATAATGCAATTAACTTATCAGATTCTCTTTTAATAATAACTATTCCAAAGTATGCAGAGAAAAAGTCATAAAAATACTGTTATATAAGTACTTATTATCTCAGAAATTTTAGAGATAGCATAAGTTATTATGGCACATGCTTTTTTAAAAAAACTTTTTAAATTGTTGCATTCTTAATTTAAAATTTTATTTCTTGGTTTTACATTTTTTCAGCCGTGAGCAAGATTTTTTTATTGTGTCATCGGGTTGCTGTCTCCTCGATGTAGACCCTGCACCTCCTTTCATCTAAACTGACAGAGTTTTAGAAAAGATATTTTTATACAAACAAATCATTAGCTATCATTGTTCAAATAAATCTACTGATACCCCAATAATTTACCTCCTCGTCTTTAAACCATGACAGGGATTCAGTTGTCAAAACAAACCAGAATTCTTTTGATCCTCCTTTCATAAAACTTATATTGTGTAATGTTAACCATCCTTTTCTGATAACCTACAAATGCAAAATTACATCAAAATATTACAACTAAAAAAAATATTTATGAAAATGTTCCAGTTACTTTTAAACTCTATGAAAAGAGGCAAATATCAGTTTTAGAGCATTTGGTTTAACCTGGACAAAAATCAAAGTACAATCATCTGCAGTAGAGGTCATCACACTTCCATATAGTCATGGTATATCTCAGTATGTCATCCATATGGTCATGGTATATCTCAGGATGTCATCAATATGGTCATGGTATATCTCAGTATGTCATCCCTATATATGGTCATGGTATATCTCAGTATGTCATCCCTATGGTCATGGTATATCTCAATATGTCATCCATATGGTCATGGTATATCTCAGTATGTCATCCATATGATCATGGTATATCTCAGTATGTCATACATATGGTCATGGTATATTACTATATCTCAGTATGTCATGTTGGATTTTGAAAAGTGTACATAGATCTGCTGAAATAACATGTGATGTGACAAAGATACTTTTGAGGCAAAAATTGGGTTCTGCACTACAATAAATTTGCTGTTCATTAATAAATTCTGCTGGAGAGTTGTTTCATTGGCAATCATCCCACATCTTCTTAGTTATTTATTTACCCTAGGAATGACCAATATTTTTTTTTTTTAAACCAGACAACAAAATTCAAAGAAATAGAACATTTACTTCAGCATACAGAGTAAAATGTTGTTCCTTTAATTGCTGATAACTAAATAAATTTAGCGACCTAAATTTAATTCACAATTTGAGCTATTTATTTATTTATTTTTACCTTGGACTCAAGTTTATATGAAACACATTACATGAAATTAGATTAAAATAAATGAATGAATGTAAAGCATAATGCATAAGAAAATGAAGCAAAAATTAACATCTGCTAAATTTAATGTCAAAATAAAACAAAGTGTCTGAGAGAGAATTTAAAATAGTATTCCTTTGTAAAAGAATTGTCAATAGTATAAAAATTTATTTGTAATGTCAAGTTTAAACGTTATTAAATAAAATATTAAAGCAGGCTGGCATAGCTATGAAAAGTTAAATGTGAATAGACATAATACTGTAACATACTGGTCTGCAAATTAATGAAAACTAAATGGACAAATTTTCAAGAAACTGAGGCATCTGATAAGTTTTACCTCAGTATAATGCTATGATACTGTGTGACCAGTGCGCTTCAATATCAAAATAATATAGTGAGAAAAAGAAGCAAAAGAATTATAAATAAAATTATGCCTTTCGCTTGCAGTTTATAAAATTCATTTATATTGATGACGCTGCCACTGTCTAAGTCTTGCTTTCTCAACTTTGTCATTGCAAGACAAACATGGTACTAGCACCAACAGAAAAAAAAGAGTTGTGGTACTTCCAATGTAAAGATATATGTTATATGAAATTTAGAAATCAGTTTACAGTGTCAGTGAAATAAAGGTAAGTAAGCAATAATTGTTTTCCTATTAAGCATATATGCAGTAGCCCATTATTGTAGAATTTCTGAGAAAATTTGGCCCTTATTATTATTTTTTTTCATGATTTGCCTGTGTCTGTATGCACCCATTTATTGTGTACACATGTGTAATGATACTTTTTTGCATATACATGTGTAATGATACTTTTGAAATGTGATGTGAAGATGATAAATATTGGTGAAAATTTAATTTAAAAAAATTAATGCATGCATATATGTGAAAATAACCATACTAAATGTAAATTCTCATCTTAATAATCAATTCAATTTTCAAAATTTTCTTTAATGTTCTTTAAAGAGAAAAATAAATGGGGAATGTGTCCATGGGACACAGATGATGCCCCCACTTGCATATCATATAAAGTTATAAAGGGGCATAACTCTAGAACAGTAAAAGTGACACCTCCAAAATTCAAACTTGATCTGTGTTTTGTGGTAATAAGCATTGTGTATAAGTTTGATAACATTTGGTAGAGGCAAACTAAAGTTAGAGAACGGAAACGAAAAATTCAGCAATTTTTCCATTTTTAAAAGGGCATTTCTCTAGAACGGTTAAAGTGACAACACCAAAATTCAATCTTGATCTGTGTTTTGTGGTAAAAAGCATTGTGTATGTGTTTCATAACATTTGGTTCAGGCAAACTAAAGTTAGAGAACGGAAACGAAAAATTCAGCAATTTTTCCATTTGTAAAGGGACATAACTCTAGAACAGTTAAAGTGATGCCACCAAAATTCAATCTTGATCTGTGTTTTGTGGTAATAAGCATTGTGTATAAGTTTCATAACATTTGGTTGAGGCAATCTAAAGTTAGAGAACAGAAACCAACTTTGGGACATACGGACAGACGTGGCGGGGGCATAAAAATAACCTCAAGTCATAATCATATCAGTATAACTTAATATCAATTTCAATAAAATTAATATTAACAATAGAGCCATTATTAGCTGATTATGGTTAGAAGCTTGCTTCTTTTAGAAACTGCTAATTAATATTAAAGCTATATATAGAATCAGTATCATATGTTTATATATGTACCAGTAAGTTCAGTTATAACATAGTACCATTGTTTTCAATTTCACTTCAGCTGGGTTTTATTTTTTTACATTTAACTCTTTAGAAACAAAAAATTAACATTTTATCATTGCATGTGCCTCCATTATGTTATATTTATCATCAGATTTATAACAAACTATTTAACATTCAAAGACTTCATCAGTCCTTTTATTGTCACAAAAATTTCCATTGCCTATGATTTGATCAGAAAAAGCTTGAATACAATTTAATAAATTTCCATGGAAAGACATTTGTTATATGAGAAAAAATTAACCCATTAATTAAGTCTATTTCTATTGAATCTGGCATTCAAAACAAAATATTCAAGCGGTCAAAAAATGCCATGGTACTATCTTATGTATGGCTTATTACACTTTTTAGGAATATCTAAATATCTATTTGCTTTCATAGATACAAAATAAGCCATGTCAAAGACCAACTTTCCATATTTTCAAAATTTATAGTCTACAGACAATAGAAAGCCATAATTGGGACATATCTGGAGATCTGACCTCACAATAGCATATAGCTAAAAGTCACTATACCAATCTTTGCAAAAAGTCATATTCCTAGCTTACAGTGTAATAATCCTTTTGTTATCAACCAGCTCCCAATATTCCTAAACATTAGTGTAATAATCCATTTATTATACACTTACTTGATTTTTAAAAGTTTCTTTATATCCCTAATGTAATAATGATTAAAATATGATTCATGGTATGAATTCATGAAAAATTTATTTTCTTTGGGAGTCTTTACAAAAATTTATAAATAAACTAACATACCAGTTGGTAAAGAAGTAACAAACATGACTCAAGCATAAAATGTGAAAAAAGTCAGTAAATTCAAGTGGTTTCTTCCACCATTAAAAAAATATATAAAAGGTTCATACTTCTTTTTTCAATACAGATAAACTACAACTTTCTCATGAAATTTTCATGGCCAAGAAAAACTGTTGACACAGATATGCCTCGCCTGTGACATGTGACTTGTAAATTATGCGAGAGTTTCAAAGTAAATAGACTAAGACCGAGGGGGGGGATTGTCAAATAATCTCCATAGAAGCGAGATGTTCCAATCGTTATACAACTACCTATGAAAAGTCATAAAATTACCACTAATGGTTACCTGTTACCTGACCTAATCACAAAATTTTCACAATTCTTGATGCTGCAGACACTGAAAATAGCACATTTAAGTCGAGCATGGACAACTTTGTCTAGACTAGACATTAAAACTCAAGATGTGCATGTTTCAGCACTTTTTCCAAATTCTTTCTATTCCAGAGCCTTTTAAGCACCATAAAATATCTTTGAATGTTTATATAAATGAACCATAATTCCATGCTGACAAAAGGGTTAAAAAGTATTTTTCAAAGCATTTTGGAAAAGGGTATTCTCTTTCAAACTGATAATTTTTTTTTCATTAAATGAGTTTCTTTGCATAATATGAAAACATAAATAAACAATAATCATATTTCATATAAATAGATGGAGAATGTGTCCATGGGACACAGATGATGCCCCCACTTGCATATTGCGTAATAAAGGGACATAACCCAAGAAAGGTAAAATGACACAACCCAAATTCGAACTTGATCTGTGTTTAGTGGTAATAAGCATTGTGTATAAATTTCATAACATTTGGTTGAGGCAAACTAAAGCTAAAGAAAGGAAAATTTTGGGGCGTACAGATGTACGTACAGACATACAAGTACTTAATGCCCCCTCTGTCGCAGAGGAAAATGTTTTTAAACAGTTAATTGGGGCAGTTTCTATTTTCTAATTGGGAATGGGGCTCCTGAGGGAGAAATCCTCATCAGGTTTATATCTTTTGGATATAGTAGAAAGGAAAAATTGTAAAGGAAAACAAAAATGTCTATACAACATATTCTCACTATAGCTAACAAGAGGATGATATTTATCTGTTTAGTGAAAATCAAGACTAAATCTGCAAATATTAGAATTTAGAGAATGACATGCACAGTAAAGATGAATTACATTTTCTACTGCAATGTCCAACCTAAATACCTGCAATACATTATTTAGCATTTTAAATTAAAAGCCAAAATTATTTTATGAAGTTTATCAGCAATAAAAGTGTTCATCTAATCAATTATCTTTTAAGAAAACAATACTAGTGTAAAATCTGCTTCTGTTACCTAAAATTTATATCAAACTGCAACTGTTGATAGTTTATAGAATTGATGTCATAGAAGACATTCATGATGTATGGATAAAACTGTGTGTACTTTTAACGTGCTAAACATAGGTCACTCTGAACAAGGCAACTGAATTTTACTTTGCAAATGCAACTTGCATCAACAATTTTCTTCTTTGAAGATTATAAATAGAATCAACTATAAACATATATGTACCGTGCATAATTTGATCCAAATAAAAAGAAGCAGAAATTACTGTGACTTGACTGTTAGTATTGCTCTCCACCTATGACAACTTATTCAAAATTCTGACCAAATTGCAATTTGTTTTATAAAACCAAACTGTTCAACTGGTCAGAAATTTGAACAAACTACTGTAGAAAACCATAGTCAAGTCGTAAAAGTGCAAGGTGATAAAATAATGCATACTTATAATCCTATAAAACTTTAATTCCACTTCAATGTTATCATGAAATATCAGTCTGACAGTTTGTATAGAAATTTTATTGTTATTGTCATGTTAAAGGTGATAGGTAGTAATTTTGAATTGCTATAAAAATGTCCTAACTAAGCTTTCATACAATTTTTCTTTTGAAAAGTCTTCTATATTCATAAGAATCAGACATCATTTGAATTAAAACATTTTATATTCAGTAAAATATATGTGAAATTACAATACTTTGTTAATAAGTTTCCATGGGAGATAACCTTAAACATTATTCTTTTGAATATAGAAGTCACAGTAATAAGACATATTCTTAGAAAACCAAAATAATTAGATAGAATATGCATTACTTTACATGGAGGTTATAAGGGAGATAATTGCAACTTATGTCTATAACAAGGGAGACAATTCTTTACCTGATTGCCAACTTTTCTTTTAGCAGTATTTTCTGATTTGTCCTGTGCTCTGAAAAACAAACATACAATTCTTGAATAGTATGAACAGAAGGAAATATTTTTTTTTCAGTATTAAAAAAATTATTTTGAGCATAAATTGTGTATTGTAAAGATGCAGACCGACATTGGTCATTAAAATTGTTATAATCCTTTTTCCTTTAAATAATGTAAAGCAACTTATTTTCGAATAACCTCTTTTTCACATTTATTCTTTTTTTTTTAGCATACTTCTCAGCAGTTTATATCTGATGATTTATATAAGCATTTCACAAAAAACAAATTGCTTGCATAAATTAAATGGTTTATAGTATTAAACATACTAAGGATAACTTTTCAAACATGAGAAATGTGAATTTTCCTGCATGAATTTAATAGACAATACTTATGAAACAGTATGATTTTAATCCAATATCATTTATAAAATTGAAGATCTATCACCATTTAAAAAAAGCTTTGGAAAGGTAAGTATTATATGTATAATTTCCTGTGCCATCTGTTATTCATAAGACTAACTTTCGAATTCGCCACATCAATTCAAATTTGTGATTTCTGGGTGGTATTTATTTATGTAAAGTATTAGTCCTTAGAATCAGGTTCAATTGAAATATTTGCCCTAGTTTCATTTTTGAGTATCAACTCTTACCGTGAAAATAACAAAAATACTACTATTCACTTTATCTCTTTTTTTTATAAACCTTCTGTAACTTGAAAGGATAATGATTACACAATTGCAGGAGTTCCGTTCTGTTTTTATGAGATTTTCTTGTGTATTGTATTTACTTTTAATGTTAACATCAGTTCAAGCATTAATTCTAAATGTCATATTCTAGTCCCATTCTCTGGATGCCAGACTGCAAACTTCAGCCATTAACAATCCTTTATTTACAATCATATAGTTTTTTTCACAAACCATGCAAGACCCTTATGGCTACTGAAGGTTGCTAAACACCCCTGTAGTAGTATATATTTTTTCTTACTTTGCAAATCCTATAAAATCTTCATGATTTGTGTTCATATATGATAGCTGTACATCAACTAATAACAATAATTGGTCCTTTACTCTTTGTTCCTGCTCTCGAATCCTTGTATTGACAATTCTTTCCACTTCCTCTCGTAACCGTGGATATCTATTCATCTGAAAAGATATATATCACATTGACAAATAGTTAAAATAAATGTGGATAGTGTCCACATGTGGACACAGATGATACCCCCACTTGCATATCATATAGTTATGAAGGGACATAACTGAAGAACAGTAAAAAAAAATTTGAACTTGATCTGAGTTTTGTGGTAATAAGCATTGTGTGTAAGTCTCATTACATTTGGTTGAGGCTAACTTAAGTAGAGAACAGAAACTAAAAATTCAGCAATTTTTCTATTTGTAAACACGCATAACTCTAGAACGGTTGTGTATAAGTTTTATAACATTTGGTTAAGACAATCTAAAAAATTCAGCAATTTCTATGTTTATAAAGGGACATAACTCAAGAATGATAAAAGTGTCGCCACCAAATTTTGTCTTAATCTGTACTATGTAGCAATAAGCATTGTGTATAAGTTTCATAACATTTGGTTGAGGCAAACTAAAGTTAGAAAACGAAAACAAAAAATTTGTACTTGATCTTAGTTTTGTGGTAATGAATATTGTGTATAGGCTTCATAATGTTTGGTTGGGGCAAACAGAAGTTACAGAATGGAAACTAAAAATTTTGCAATCTTTCTATTTATAAACGGGCATAACTCAATAGTGGTTAAAGTGACACTACCCAAATTGAACTTGATCTGTGTTTTATCAGTAGAAGTCAAAATTAAACATTGCATTGTATAAAGCATTGATTGAAGTTGATTCAACTATAATCATGGGCAAAGGAAGATAACTCCAATTTTAATAAAATGCTCCGCTGGGGCGCAGCTTGATACGACCGCAGAGGTCAAACCCTGAACAGTTGGGGCAAGTATGGACACAACATTCAAGCTTGATACAGCACTGAATTTGGATTGTAATTAAATATTTGACACAGCATAGGTTTCTGACACAGAATGAAAGTGGTCTAAGAACTTATAATTTTTTAATTTACCTATTCATACATGTGATGGACTGTGAAACTCAGATCAGGAGATTGGGAAATTTTGGTCAGGAGATTAGGACTCAGATCAGGAGGTTTTTAATCGACATAAATTTTGTCGTAAATGTAACCGTGTGCAGTAAAAATGGTCTTTTAAAGTGTGTTTTCTTCAACTTTCCATCCAATTTATTATGTTTATAGTACCCTTGTACTTATAAAGATTCTCCATCTTTATATTTTACATGTTCAATCTAACATCTTTTTTTTTCAGTATGTTCTTTAAATTTTTTACTTCATATTCTATAAAACATTTATAGCAACCAGAACATTTGTTTAACTATCTGCAAATAGCTTTTGATTTTTTTTTTTTTTTTTTTTTTATTTCTTCTCAACACTCAGATTGGTGTGAACTTGCCAGTCCCTTACTTATTTGAAAATACTAATACAATATACAACCGTAGTGGTTGAGAATGTTAATTTGGGTTTAGTGTGCTAAAAGAGTGCTTACATACTGCTTAGAAGAATGAAAAAGGAGAAATAAGCTTTTGATTGCATACTCAGAAAATCATTCTAACTGTAAAACAAGGGTCATAGTTATTATATAAATTTCAATTTAAGCCTTGAAAGGAAGTATAGAATCCTCAAATAATTTTCAAATTATTATTTTTTTATTTGTCCTAAGACATTTAAAATCATTTATTTACCATCCTTTTATGATTATTTGTTCAATTTATATTTTATTTATATTCTTTTAAAAATTTTCATTATTAAAAGGAAAGTAACTTAAAACAGGATAAATCAAGGGAAGTAACCAAATAAATACACAGTTTTTGTTACACAACGGCAGTTAGCCTGAGGTAAAAAATCATTGATTACCAGTATGTTTGACACCCAAGCTGACAAGTGAAGCCATATAATTATGCATGTTAATTGATTTACAGGTAAAATATAACTTCAGGTAATGTGAGTTACACCAGATGCCTGAGATGATATGTTGGGCAGAAATTTTTCATTCATGAAAAATTTCATACACGGGATTATAATTTTCCTCTTCAACCGGAGGTCGGGAGGAGACTCCTGAAAACAGGATTATTGTACTCCTGTCGGGAGGTTCACATGTATGCTATTCAAACCATATCATTATTATTTGCTTTTATATATAAATCAGAAATAACCAATTTAAAATGGAAAATTTTAAAGAAAAAAAAGGAAAAAAAAATCCCCCCCCCCAAATTTTTTGAACCCCCTTATGATTCATCACCCCCACACTCAATCCCAGCTTTCCCTTTGTGGTATGGTACCTTGCAGTACAATTTTAGAGAGATCCATTCACTTGAACACAAGTTATTGTCTGGAAACTAGAAAAATGCTTGTTTTTTTGTCCCTTTTTGGCCCCTAATTCCTAAACGTTTAGGGCAATTACCCCCAAACTCCAACCCAGCTTTCCCTTTGTGATATGGAACCTTGCAGTACAATTTCATAAAGATCCATACACTTACAAACAAGTTATTGTCCTGAAACTAGAAAAATGCTTGTTTTTTGCCCCTTTTTGGCCCCTAATTCCCAAAATTTGGAGGAAATTACCCCCAAAAATCAATCCCAGTATTCCCTTTGTGATATGGAACCTTGTGATACAATGTCAGAGAGATCCATACACTTACACACAAGTTATTGTCATGAAACTAGAAAAATGCTTGTTTTTTGCCCCTTTTTGGCCCCTAATTCCTAAAATTTGGAGGCAATTACCCCCAAAATCAATCCCAGCATTCCCTTTGTGATATGGAACCTTGTGGTACAATGTCAGAGAGATCCATATACTTACACACAAGTTATGTCTGGAAGTTACAAAAATGCTTATTTTTGGCCCCTTTTTGGCCCCTAATTCCTTAACTGTTAGTACCATAACCCCCAAAATCAATCCCCACCTTCCTTTTGTGGTATTGAACCTTATGGTAAAATTTCATTGAGATCCATTCACTTAAACTAAAGTTAGAGTGCGAAAACTAATGTGTATTCGGACGACGACGCCGGACGACGCCGCCGACGACGACGACGACGACGACGACGACGACGACGACGACGACGACGCCAACGTCATACCAATATACGACCACAAAAATTTTTTTGCGGTCGTATAAAAACTACTTGATATTTAGAAGAAAATAAAAATTTTGCAATTTTTCCATTTATAAAGGGGCATAACTCTAGAACATTTAAAGTGACGCCACCAGAATTCAAACTTGATCTGTGTTTTGTGGTAATAAGCATTGTGTATAAGTTTCATAACATTTGATTGAGGCAAACTTAAGTTAGAGAACGGAAACTAAAAATTTTTGCAATTTTTCCATTTATAAAGGGGCATAACTCTAGAACGATAAAAGTGACGCCCCCAAAATTCAAACTTGATCTGTGTTTTGTGGTAATAAGCATTGTGTATAAGTTTCATAACATTTGGTTGAGGCAAACTTAAGTTAGAGAACGGAAACTAAAAATTTTGCAATTTTTCCATTTATAAAGGGCATAACTCTAGAACGGTTAAAGTGACGCCACCAAATTCAAACTTGATCTGTGTTTTGTGGTATAAAGCGTTGTGTATAAGTTTCATAACATTTGGTTGAGGCAAACTCAAGTTAGAGAACGGAAACTAAAAATTTTGCAATTTTTCCATTTATAAAGGGCATAACTCTAGAACGGTTAAAGTGACGCCACCAAAATTCAAACTTGATCTGTGTTTTGTGGTAATAAGCATTGTGTATAAGTTTGATAACATTTGGTTGAGGCAAACTCAAGTTAGAGAACGAAAACCAACGTATGGACAGACGGACAAGGGTAAAACTTAATGCCCCCGCCGGCTTCGGCGGGGGCATAATTAACTACAGTATAAATAAAAGAAGGTTTCTGTGACATAAAATGTACAGGTTTATTCAGAGGAGATGGGACACTTTTATTAATTTTTGATGGGTGGTGACTATTTTTGAAAGATAGTCTGAATAATTATACGTAATGTTAAAATAAAATCTTATGCACGGTTGGGTAAAACAAAAAGATCCTCTGGACCTTTAAATACATTTATTTACAGAACAGCTTTATTTAAGCTGTTGTGAGGCTATTGAAATTTACAATTTGCTATAATAAGCCATAATGTATTGGATTACTGAAAGGATTAGGTGAAAAATTGTGCAGAAAAGCAATAATTGTTCTATACTTGAGTTTTAACACCATTCTCTCAGAAAAATATCTCCATAAATCTGTATTTTCATACACTGGTTTTGCACTGACATTATTTCGATGCTTATAAATTATTTCAGTAAATCTTTTCTTGTTGCAGCTTATCGATTATTAATCTAACTGGTCTCTAAAACATCCTTATAACTTAATCAATAGGTGTTTACAAGTATAATGTTACACAACTGTAACTTCTGGTATTGTATTGGTAGAATTTGACATGGTTCCAACGAAATGTACAACTCATATAATTTATAACTGTGACTGAAATTGTGGTACCACCATTGAGAGACATGGCACAAACGGGGTTTCAAAAAGTTATACAGCACCCTTCCATAATGTGTCTACTCCATTCAAATGAAAATAGGATAAAAATGAAAGTTATACTTTTGGATATTGATTGTGGGTCATAATTAGTTCTATGTCCCTTTGATGAATGCAAATGTATATCCTTTCTTAATTTAAATAGAGCTTAATAACTTGGGTACAAACTAACCTTTTCAGAACATTTATGAACAACATTGGTTAACTCTGAAATCACCATATCTACACACTTTAATGACGGCCCCTTTAATTTTTCTATTTGTTTTTTCACTACAGCTTCAAATGCCATATCTGGTGTGAATAATCCAGTTCTGAAATTAAAAGAAAATAAAGATTCTCATTATATTGGTGTAAAGACATTGTGTTGGATGTGAGGATCAAGCATTCCAAATTTATAAACACTAGTACTACTATTTTTTTTATAAGTTTTGTGCTTTACAACACATCTCAGCTGAATGACTTCTCAATTTTTACCAAAAAAATGGTGTACAGAATTTAAAATAATGAAGGGAAATCTTAAATGTGGGAAAAAAATAAAAAATCAGAGATGTTGTCTTAAATCAGATCCAATGCTATGTATATTTTAAAATTAAATCTGACCATTTGGATTTTCCTATTCAGAACCAATCAAAGAATAATAAATAAATGTTGTACAACATAGCTCAAAGTGCTATCTGGTTATGTCAGTCTATAAAAGATAATGAACTTTTAAATGGTAATTTCAAATGAGTACAAAAAATAGTATACACAAATTTCTAATTTAATTTTATTTGCTATATCTAAACAACAGAATCTTATGCACTCTGGGTGATATGTTCTTAAACGTACACCAAAATCTTTCAACTGACTAAAAAATGTCTTAAACAATGAAAATTCAACTGATTTATACATTTTTGAGTACAAACAATAAATTTAGTTCTTCAGATTTTGAAAATGAGAATTATAACATAAACAAAACTCTGGAAATTACAACAATTTAACATCTAATTAGTGCTGGAGAAACAAACAAAAAAACTTGCAATAACAAAAAATACAAAATTGAAATTGGTCCAACATTGTGGACTGTAAAATAGCAACATATGTTTAAGTCAGAAAAAAAGTCTTATCTTAATAAAGAACAAATTCCGCTTATCAAACAAAACAAACATGTCAACACCATACGGTGGATTCATTTATTTAGATGGGTACCAATTTTCGTGAATTGGAGAAAAATTTGTATTTACTTGTTTTTGCAAGATTTGCATAAAAGCATATAGTAAAGTTGTTCTTCATTGAACATTACCTGTATCAACGAAATCCACAAAAATTGGTATCCAATGTTTTATAATGAATCCACAGTAATCACATTTGGTTCTAAATGAGCTTAAATGGACTAGCATTTTAAAAATAAGGAGATGTGGTATGATTGCAAATGAGACAACTATCCACCAAAGTTCCAACGAAGTGGATGTAAGCAATTATAGGCAACTGTACAGCCTTCAACAATGAGAAAAAAAACCAATACTGTATAGTCAGCTATAAAAGGCCACGACATGAAAACTATGAAACAATTCAATTGAGAAAACAAACACTTAATTTATAACAAAACAATTTACGAAAAACAAATAACGGTATTGACAGACATGAACCAAAAACAACTACTGACTTCTGACTTAGCATGTCCACATACCTTTATTGCGAACCCAATGAAAGTTTTCCACAGTGCCATCTCTATCTTGACCAGGTATTTAAACTTTTGCAAGTTCACCTGTCCTATTGAATAGATACAATAGCTATTGTTCTCTGTGTAGTTTATTCTCTGGGACCTTTAAATTTCTTCTAAGAGAAATCTATCATTCATTGATTAAATTACCTGAGTAAAAAAAATTTCTTATATATAGACAAAAATACTGTTTTTATACTCATTAACTGCATGTGATGATGTAGTTATTCAATATTAATAATATATTTTCATTCAGTTTAATATAAACATTGATTCAATCATAAAAAATTGATTTCTGACAAAACTTTCAACATTGTTCCTTTTAAAAAAAAATTTGTTTGACATGAATAAGAACTTGAAAATAATGATGTTTCAAATTAAGATCTTCTTAAATGTATTCTATAACTAAACAAAAAAAAATCAAATTTCAATAGGAACATTGATAAAACTTTTGTTAGAAATCAACTTTTTATGATTGAATCAATGTTTATATTAAACTGAATGAAAATATATTATTAATATTGAATAAATACATCAGCACACGCAATTAATGAGTATAAAAACAGTATTTTTGTCTATATATAAGAAATTTTTTTTACACAGGTAATTTAATCAATGAATGATAGATTTCTCTTAGAAGAAATTTAAAGGTCCCAGTGAATAAACTACACAGAGAAAAATAGCTATTGTATTCATTCAATAGGACAGGTGAACTTGCAAAAGTTTAAATACCTGGTCAAGATAGAGATGGCACTGTGGAAAACTTTCATTGGGTTCGCAATAATAGGAATTACTTATTTATTGGACCTTGACAATTAAAGATGCTTATTTCCTTTTAAGGATGTTCGCTACTCTGTTTCAAAATAACAAGCTTTTTGAAAGACTATAATGAATTGATAGTATATACATAAAGGAACTTAAAAAGCAGATAAAAATTAAGGGTCCATGTGCTTGTTTTCGAGATATAAGCCATTGAAAATTTGGCGGGAAATGATTCTCTCTAGATTTTTCATACATTTAACATTGGCACATTTTTTCTTTCAAAAACTATGAAAAAATAACAAGGATTTTATAAGATTTTGAAATATGACTTTTTAAACTTTTCGTAATGATATTATGAAAAGAACAGTAGAGGTTAGTGGGCAAAAGTTTTTAATGGCACTACATGGATAAAACCAGAGGATTCTGAATATCTGGCAAAAATTCTATAACAAGAGAAGCGAACATCCTTAAATAAAAATTTTCAAAATACACATTTTTCCTTTACATGGACCATAATATTAATGAAATGGTCTAGAAACTAATCAAATTAAACAATATATAAAATCAGTAGAATCTCTAATCTATTGAGTACAGTCATCTATTGAAGTTATTAACTACAGTGTGCTGTATATGGTTATCTCTCCATAGTCTTTTGAATGGAATAGATATTAAGATATTTGGGGTTAACTTTTAGGTCTAAAAATGAAATAAAAAATTGGTCCTTGATTTGTTTTCATACTCTATAAAATAGTTCTTACAAATGTAGATGACTTAAAAATTGTTAATTTCAAAAATTGTGCAGTGGCTTCATTTTTTCGTAGTTTTCAATTCTTTTCAACTAATAAAGTTCAAATTTTGATGGAAACCTGACATTAAGATTTTAATAAATTCAGCATACAAGCCAATGATAAATTTGTATTTTGTCAACCAATCAAACCTGTTGTTCACCTATACCAACAAAAATCAGGAAAATAAATATTCTATGATTAGTAATAACTTCACAGTAGTCATAGTAATTTCAGAAATTGTTATGTTTTCAAGCATGTAAAATAATTAAACATTTGTAACAATTTTTGTTAACTCAATACTTATATATTATCAAATGTTAGCAATAAGCCATGTTCACTAAAATTCAATCAATACCAAAATCAGAGAAAGTCTGTTTTACCATGCCCAATTTCATTTTAAACACTAAAGTCATGTGATAACATCAGTAATTTATGCAGTGTTGGTATCAGTATCATGTCATCTGCATGAAAATATCAACTAAATGGTGATATCAGCTGTAAAAATTCATGCATGTTACGGGTTCAAAATAGAATAGTGAGGTTGATTTTTTTAGTTGAAATCTGTTTAAATCATTCCATTTGTTTATTCTAACTGTGTGAAAAAACTGAAGAATGTCACATTGTACTAATTCAACCTTCACATTCAAACAACAACTTTCCCAGAACTCTCCTATTTGTTAGTATCACTGTGCTTAAAGTTTAAATATGTGTTTTATGGAAGGTTAATCACACAAGATAGTAACATAAGATGAAAGACAGAAAATTCTTTATCCAATAAACTCTCGATTGTACCAAATGTCTAAGAGTGCAAGAAGTAAAATCATCAAACATCTAACCCCAGTTCATGTCTTCTTGCAAATGGTCAGTTCAATCTAATTTTTTTAATAGCTTTTTTAAAATAAATGCTTGTTAAAATAAACGACCTATCATGTTTGAATACCTTAGATTAATCTGAGGTATGCCTGAGCAATATTGTTCAACAATCACTTTTTCTTAAATGGCTTTTTAAAATTGAATTGAACTGACCAATTGCCTGGAAGAATTGACAAGACAGAGGTGATTTACAGTAAGAAGTGTTAGCTATTAGAAAAGCTGAGCAAGTTCTGTTCTCACCTAACACCTCGTACACTTTTAATTGTATACATTATTTCCCGTCGTATTTCCCTTTCACATATAGAATCATTTTGGTAGATCTGTGAAAACAGAATGTTGATATTATTGAAACTGTTTCTTCAGCATGTTCACACTTACCTAATAGCATGAATGTTCTTAATAATGATTCCTATCTCTCGTCGTAATTCACGTTCATCAAACTCCATCTGGAAAATTCAAATACTTTACAAACCCTGTTCATATATTAACAATGAGCCACATTATGAATAGCATGCAAGCTAGGTTTTGATTGGACAGTTAGTCTTGACTGTAAAAATTCACACATTGTCAAAGGTTATTAAGTACAAACATTTACAATGCAACATAGGATGTCAACCTGAAAAAAGCTTGCCTGTCAGAGCTAACGTCCAAATTTATTGATTGATTTTTGGCAACTTTTACATGGATGATAACATTACAATGCAAAATGAATCTACCCTGCTTCATACTATAACAAACATGAGTCAAATTTTAAATGAACTTGGTCACAAGCAAACAGTTCAAAGGAAGACATGTCTCCTGACATGGAGGTGTTTTCCTCATTACTATCAAATGCTGTGTTTTGGCAGAATAGCAGCAAATTCCAATTTTAACATTTTCAGTCCGCCAAGGCTTGTGATTGAACCAACAGTTTCCCACAATGAATGAGAGCAAGCTGCCAAATATGTATATTTTCAAATGGTTTTGAAAAGAATAGTTCATTTCAAATTTTGTTTCGATAAACATGTAGAAAGTACCTTGACTAGTTCAAAGGGGAATCGTTCATGGAAAATTCTATTTATTTTAGCTCCACCACTTAGTTCTAATGTACTTATTTCTGCTCCAGAACCTTCTATAGTTTTCTCAAAATCTCCACCAAACTGTGTACACATTCTGTAAATATAAAACACAAATGATTAACTTTTTTCCCTGACATTTTCTACAAAAGTTCAGCATCTTTGTGTCCATTTTATCATAGCAATTTACATTAACTGTCTGCACTGTCAGAGCATTCTATTTTTTCTTGTCTGATTTTTTTGCAACTTAACAAATCATGTTGGTCCTTGCAACATATTAGACAATGAATTTACACTGTCAGAAATGAAGTCGTAATCAACGTAATTTTTTTTCTTCAAAATACTGTTGTGGTTTACATGAAAGCGATATACATATAAGAAAAAGAAAAAAATCTATTTCTGTCATCTGACTAGTACCCTTAATTATACATATATAGGTTGGCTTTCCACTCTTGGGAAAGATTTTTATCAATATCTTATTATTTTCTTATAAACTACCTAGTAGTTGCTGGTACTTTGGGCAAGTTCCCAATTCTTCTTATGTCTATTGGATCTTGAATGCTAGTTTGCGGTTGAAGGCTATATTATGACTAGTTTACTATAGATGACTTTTTGTGTTGGAGAGTTGATATCTAATTTTGCTATATCTCATAAATTATCCATAACCACAGCTTATAGTTAAGACTGTTTTCTCATAATTTCCCCCCACTAACACCTGTGTTTTTTTTCAAAGATTGAACTATAAAGGAACAAGTAGATATACTATTCCTTACTTTATCTATAGACATTAAATTATAAATTCAATAATTTATCAGACAATTCTATTTTTGTTCATTTAGACAACATACTGCATCATAGCTTTAGTTTTTCTGGATGGGTCATCTGGTCTGAAGTTTTTAAATTCTTCCACATCTTTTTCCATAGCCAATAGCTGAGACTGTAATTTATTCCTCAACGCTGGTAAGGTATCTTTAATGTGATTGGTCAACTGCTGGTTCAAGACTCTTTGAAGAAATGGTGTTCCCATTCTATCTGCCATGTGTCTATAAAAAATTCAAAAGATTTAAATAAATAGACTTGTCCTATGTATTTAATTTACTTAATCTATTTGGATATAAGAATCAGGTAATCATAATGATCTTTTTCCTTCATTAATTTAATCATAATGGAAAAAGCTTTAGTTTCAATAAAACAAAATTCCAAGTGTGTATTTGTTGTCTTCAAAACTGTAAAATACAAGACGTCAGCTCAAAATGTAATTTCTCCCAAGTTCCCACTAAGCTTAAAATGTTTTGTGTAAGAATTCTCATATAAAACATAGCAACTACAAAGTAAATAGAATGAAAAGGGAGATAATCTGCGTGCAGTGAAAGTGTAGTTCCCAAATGCTTGTTAGCAATAGTTCATAAATCCATGAAATTCAATTCTAAAAAATTGCAAAATTGTTCACATAATTCATTTAAAAAAAAATTTCACCAAATCATCTGAAAAATGAAATTCTCTTATAACATATAGCATAAAACAAACCTATATGCTGGATGACTAAGGAAAAATTTCCTCTCTCCTGCTAAGGCAGCTCGGATGTCTTTTCTACCTTCTATATCTTTCTGACTTCTGTTTACCACACCAATATAACCTGTTAAAAAATGTAAGAATAGCATCATGATGAAAGCATGATAATCAAAGTTTATTTCTTTATTTAGAAATTAAATAACATTCAATTGAGAAAAAAAATAATGATGTATTATGAATATCTAGATTGATTGATCATAGATAGCAGCATGATTAAAAATTGATATACTTAATTTTTAGAAATTTTAAGTGTGCATTTATTATTGCTATACATGAACAATGGGCAGAACTGTGAATGCAGAAATTGCTGAAATACAAAAATGCTGTTAACTTTTACAATGTGAGTTTAAAAACTTTTTAACTTTCTGCACATACCTCTCCTCAGTGGTAAAGTTCTGTTTTCTAAAATATCTCTTGCATCTGTTCCTTCGTCCATTAAATCTAACTTAGTTATAACACCAATGGTCCGGATACCTGTAGTTAACATCAAATATATTAGGGCACACACAAATATGAACAATGATGATTGTTACTCATGAGCAAGTTCAACACACTTGTTTTTAATATACAAGTGTTGGGCACTAATGTCAAATTTTCAATATTTATTAAGCATTATTAATTATACTATATGTATTGCAAATCTTGCCAATAAAGATTGCCTTGATCATCTCAGTTTTGATTTTGTTTTTAATACTTACTACAATAAAGAACTATAAGTTTACTATTTTGTTTGAACCCACTTACTTTACATTCATACAATTTCATGGACATTATGTTCCAACAATCTTTGGCAAATAACTGACAAGTTCTTTCACTTTCAAACAGGATTTTTTTTTTTGTGTGCAAATGACCAGTTGATTATTAAATGTATACACAGGCCAGTACACAGAATGTATGATTGGACAGTCGACAATCAAGCCCTGAAGTGCACCAAATATATTGTCCATGTCAAGAAATTTTTGGACCAATGTAACTTCAATTTGAAGATGTAGGGTCTTCATCATCAACAAAACAGTATAAGGGGCCATCTTGGTCTATTAGGGAGATGAGAGCTCAATGTGAATCTTATATAAAGAACAACAATAAAAGTGCTGTTCCCTTGCTTTGCATTTTGTCAAGTGTTTAGGGACTTTGAGTAATGTGGATTCATTTATTTTTAATGGGTACCAATTTTTTCGTGGATTAAGGAAAACTTGCATTTTCGTGGATATTTAATTTTGTTGTTCTGGCAAAGTCTGCATACATTCCTTTAGAAAATTTGTAATTAGTTAGACATTTAAATTTGTGGTTTCCCTGTACCCACGAAATCCATGAAAATTGGTATCCAACGAATATCAATGAATCCACAGTAGTGAAATAATATCCTTTCTTTTTTATTGCAGTTAGTACAAGAGTTTACCTTGTGGATCAACTTCTTTAGCTATCTTCAGAGCATCAGAATTGGCTAAATCTGTGTTAGCTGGGGATACAGCTAAAATCAGGCAACTGTCTTTGGATATGAATTCTAACACCATTGAACGGATCTGAATTTCAATATCTACCGGCTGGTTACCGACTGCTACCTTTGTCATACCTGGTAAATCTATCAAGGTCAAGTTCAGTACTGTGAAGAAAAATAGTAAAATATTATTATGAACTGTTGAATACTGAAACAAAATTTTGTTTTAAAATATTTAGCATAATTCAAATACTAGAAATGAATAAAATGCTTCGCTGGGCGCAGCTTGATACGACTGCAGAGGTCGAACCCTGAACAGTTGGGGCAAGTATGGACACAACATTCAAGCTTGATACAGCACTGAATTTGGATTGTGTTTAAATATTTGACACAGCATAGGTTTCTGACACAGAATGAATGTGGTCTAAGAACTTAAAAAATTTTAATTTACCTATTCAAACCATATCATTATTATTTGCTTTTATATATAAATCAGAAATAACCAATTTAAAATGGAAAATCTTAAAGAAAAAAAAAGGAAAAAAAGGAAAAAAATATCCCTTCCCCAAAATTTTTTGAACCCCCTTATGATTCATCACCCCCAAACTCAATCCCAGCCTTCCCTTTGTAGTATGGTACCTTGCAGTACAATTTCAGAGAGATCCATACACTTGAACACAAGTTATTGTCTGGAAACTAGAAAAATGTTTGTTTTTAGGCCCCTTTTTGGTCCCAAATTCCTAAACGTTTACGGCAAATATCCCCAAACTCAAACCCAGCTTTCCCTTTGTGATATGGAACCTTGTAGTACAATTTCAGAGAGATCCATACACTTACACACAAGTTATTGTCCTGAAACTAGAACGGTTGTATAAAAATGCTTGGTTTTTGCCCCTTTTTGGCCCCTAATTCCTAAAATTTTGAGGGAATTACCCCCAAAATCAATCCCAGCCTTCCCTTTGTGGTATGGTACCTTGCAGTACAATTTCAGAGAGATCCATACAATTGAACACAAGTTATTGTCTGGAAACTAGAAAAATGCTTATTTTTGGCCCCTTATTCCTAAACGTTTTGGGCAATTACCCCTAAACTCAATTCCAGCTTTCCCTTTGTGATATGGAACCTTGTAGTACAATTTCATAAAGATCCATACACTTACACACAAGTTATTGTCATAAAACTAGAATAATGCTTATTTTTGGCCCCTTTTTAGCCCCTAATTCCTTAACTGTTGGTACCATAACCCCCAAAATCAATCCCAACCTTCCTTTTGTGGTATTGAACCTTATGGTAAAATTTCATAGAGATCAATTCACTTAAACTAAAGTAAGAGTGCTATAACTTATGTGTCTTCGGACGACGACTACGACGCCAACGTCATACCAATATACGATCGCAAATTTTTTTTACGGTCGTATAAAAACTAACAGGTCCAAAAAATGATGACCCCACCTTGCATAGGCCATGAACACCAAAAATAATTAAAAAACAAAATATGAGGTGTACAATGGCATTAACATGGTGAAGATTTTGATTCTAATAAGGGGGTTTAGTAGGAGTTTAAGATACTAAATGGGTGCCCCAGACAAAGCAATGGCAGAGTCTATGATTTCCTAAGGTAACCCCCACCCCCCCAAAAAAAAATTCTCATCCAAAAAATGGATGGTGTGAAATGGTATTATACAGCATGGGTTAAATTGTGAGAAATGTTCAATAATTAAATTTGTTAACAGAAGAGTTCCAGATAGAAATTGGGTAGCCCCTCCCCAAGAAAGCAATGGCAAAGTCCATGCTTTGGTAAGATAACCCCAAAAATAATTTTAATAAATTGCTTTGCCGAGCGCAGCTGGATACAACCGCAGAGGTCCAACCCTGAACAGATGGGGCAAAAATGGACGCAATATTCGCGCTTGATACAGGTCTGAATTTGGATTGATATTAAATATTTGACACATAAAAGGTTTCTGACACAGAATAAATGTAGTCAAAGAACTTAGAATTGGTTATATGATTTGAATTTATATTCAATTTTTTGCCTTTGTGCAATACACTTTGCTGTTGTGAATTGACCCCCCATCGACCCACAAACCAAAATATAAAATTTACCCCCCCCCCCCCTTTTTTTTTTGCTTCTGTGCAATACACTTTGCTGTTGCATATTAAGCCCCCCCCCACCTTTTTTTTGCAAAAAAAATAATATTTGAAGAATATTTCTTTTTAATTTCTGAAATCTGAAATGAGAAAAAATTGACCCCCACAATTTCTTTTTACCCCCTCCCCCTTTTTCCCCCAAAAAATTCTTTCCCTCAAGACATGGTCATAATCTCAATTCAAATTTCCAATGGAGGTTGCAACCATAATTACCCATTTAAATTTACCATAGTGCTAACTTAATCTATTTTATAATAGAATTTAAAATATGGTGTCAAATCTTTCATATGGATTTTTTTGTAAAAAAAAAAAGATGCAACATTTGCAGATATTTTTACTGGTCTTCCTTTATAAATATGCATTTCTTTAAACATAATTTAAAAGCAATGTAAGGGAGGTAATTCAAATGATGTATTTGAATTACCTCCCTTGCACTGCTTTAAATTATGTTTTGTACTAAAGTGTTTGTCCATTAACCAGGACACCCTTGTTTTCCCCCTTTTTTTTGCCCCTAATTCCTAAACGGTTTGAGCCATAACCCCCAAAAGCAAATCCTAACCATCCCTTTGTGGTATGGAAACTTGTGGTATAATTTCAGAGAGATCCATACACCGTTCCACAAGTTATTGTCTGGAAACTAGAAAAATGCTTATTTTTGGCCCCTAATTCCTTAACTGTTGGTACCATAACCCCCAAAATCAATCCCATCCTTCCTTTTGTGGTATTGAACCTTATGGTAAAAATTTCATAGAGATCCATTCACTTAAACTAAAGTTATTGTGCGAAAACCAATGTGTCTTCAAACAACGACGAATATTTTTGCAGTCGTATAATAATAATAGGTGATCAATAGCAATATATAGGTAAGATTGTGAGAAAGTTACAATAGATTGTAATAAGGGGTTTATGAGTTGTAGTTGTAGTTACAAAATGGGTACCCCCTAATTGTATATTAACAGACAACATACAGATTCCAAAATCACGATATTTACCTTTTTTTTTGGGGGGGGGGGGGGGGGGGGGGGGGGGGGGGAAGTATAATAAATAAATTAAAAAAAAAAAGATGTGATGACAGGTTTCAAAATATCAGGACAAATAGTTATATTTGCCCACTTACCAGACATGCACGTTTCAAAGTTATACACAACTGGAGTTTAATTGTTCAGGTCATATTTGTGTAAATACTGTAAATTCACAAATCATTGCCTTCATTTTTCGAATTGCGATTTTGGAAGAATTGACAAAATTGCGAAATTAATTATTGGGATTGCAGGAATAGCTGCATACAGATATACCTATCAGATATTAAAATGCAAGTTATTATTATTGCGATACTCACCCAATTGCATTATTCGCATTTATAATTAAAACCTCACAATAATTTCTGAATTCACAGTAGTTTACAATTTTGTGATTTACAAATGGACCTGTTTTCCCTTTTTCTACCTTACTTCAGAATGTAATACACATGCAGGCAGAATGTAATACACATGCAGGCAGAATGTAATACACATGCAGGCAGAAAGTAATACACATGCAGGCAGAATGTAATACACATGCAGGCAGAATGTAATACACATGCAGGCAGAATGTAATACACATGCAGGCAGAATGTAATACACATGCAGGCAGAATGTAATACACATGCAGGCAGAAAGTAATACACATGCAGGCAGAATGTAATACACATGCAGGTAGAATGTAATACACATGCAGGCAGAATGTAATACACATGCAGGCAGAAAGTAAAATGAGCAGTAAGTCCTATATAGTTTGCATAATATCCTCTAAGATTTTTTTCAATCTAATATTATAAAAAAACTGAGATCTTGTGTATTATATTGCTTAACCTTAATAATCTTCCCTTTCTTTATACAACATCCAAGTCTTACCATTAGGGGAGTAAACCCTAAGATTAATAGGTATATTGGAGATGCCTTTGTTTCCACCAGTAACACGATCTGTTTCCATTTCAATCTCCTTCCGAACTTGATCAAAATCAGAATAATATTTGTTTTTCTGGTGCAAAAATTCTGCATATTCTGTAAAAGTAATAATAACTTTATAATACATTATCACAAAAACAAGCATTCTGTGAGTATTGCATGGCAATACATAGTCCCCTACTGGTTACAAATTCATTGTAATGGAACGAAATTCTAACTTGATCTATAACTTGTCATGGTGAACTACATAAAAAATATCAAGTCAAAATCTTCAAGCATGACGAAAAAACTGTTGAAAACTGATTATTTAAGTGAATTTTCTATGTCCAAAGACCATAACTCTGCACAAAATTATCAGACTGGAACAAAAATCCAACTTGATCTGTAACTTGTCATGATAAAACTATATACTAATTATCAAATCAATATCTTCAAGAATGACAAACAAACCTACCACTAAATTCTTCAATTTACCAAAGAAAAGGAAAAAAATCCAAAATGTCATTTTGTCTTTTAAAAGTCTTTTAAAAAATGAGTTATTTCCCTTTGAACAGAAATCTACTAATTAATAAGTATTTCATCAAAAATTTAATTCTAGGGAAAGGGCTTTTACTGAACAAAGAGAAGATCGTGAAAATTGAACTTGACCTGTAATTTGTCATGATTAATCAATAAACCAAATATCAAATCAATATCTTCAAGCAAGAAGAAAAAAAGTCTGGAAAACTGATTTGTCTGACTGACAGATGGAGTGCAAACCTAAAGTCTCCTTTGACTTCGTCGGTAGGGGACTAATAAATCTCCAAGAAGCACTTAACTAATCAATGTCTGAAATATTCTTGCATCTGCTAGATTAAAAACCTAGCAAGTACACCAGTTACATGCTTAACAGGTATAAGATTTTTACTAATAAAAGGAACGTTTTGAAATTATTAAAAATAACAACTGTCCATTATACATCAAGGAAGTAAATAAATAAAGACAAGTTGAGTCACTAATCAGAGGTCTATCTAATGACACAGTGATCTTTAATGACACAAATTAACATTACTGTTGTGTAAACCAAATTCCTTCCTTTTTTTGCATTATTTCCTTCTATTGGCAAAAATCTTATAAAAAAATTATATTTTCCTTGTATTTTTAAAGTAATGATAATTCTATTTGAAATATTTCATCTGTAGCGTATTTTATTGAACAATAAACCATTTGATTCAGTAACACTTGTAGACTGGGCCCCTGTTCTTTATTTGTATAGTTGTTACAGACATAGGTATCCAGTATTCATAATTATCAACCATCTTCTACTGCTATTACTCTCAATTCACTATGAAAATATATTTCGGGGAAAACTATTTAGAGGGAATAATTTGTAGTAACAGCCGTTACCTTTCAGTTAATCGGTGAGGAAAGTTGTCTCATTGGCAATCATTTAGTACATGTACATGTAACGTCTTACTTTTATACAGTTCCCCACATATCTTTTCTTGTAAACATTAACATTTCCACTATACGAAATATTTTAACCTCAATGATATAAAGTAAGTGATCAAGTGCATGAAAAGGACATTCTTTAAAATATTCCATATTTAGCATCAAGAGTAAACTAATTAGAAGTTGTAAGACTGTTGTCATTTCAGAATCTGATGCGTTATGGGTTAATATTTTCTAAAGCGTCCATCATTATGATAATATTTTTGTGATTGGTTAAAACTTTCTAAACACTAACAATACAGTGAGTGACGTAACATTTATTTTCAGTTTGAGGGTAAGAATTCGCCTTTTCAGAATCTAAAGGACTATGGGTAATCTGATTGTTCGTACACCAAAATGATAATAACGTTACGTCATTGGTTCAATTGCCATTGTTTAGAACATTTTAAACCAATCACAACATTTTGGTGTACGCTTTTGAAAATATTACCCAGAATGCATTAGTTTCTGAAACTGTGAATTTAAAACACATGGTCATTAAGATTCTGAAATGTGGTTAAAACTGTTACAGGATTTTTTGAATGGCTTTGATAACATTTAAGTCAAGTTTTAGTGCAAATGCTTCAGGTATGTCAGACTATTCTAGAGTGAACATGTTGTTTGAAAAGTAAAATCATAAAATTATTGTGCAAATTGTTTTGCAGCTAAACAAAAAGATCCATGTGATACAGATGTAGTAAATCATACCAGCTTTAGAATTTATTAACTGTAGAACTAAAGGTCGTCTTGTTACTATACCACTTCCTCTGGGTAAAAAATCTCTGAAAAAATTAATAAATAAATTAATCAATAATATACTCAGCAATTTCAACAAATAATCAAAAAATATTTAAAAGTCAAATGTGCTGCAGTGACAGTCGTCAACATAAGCATTCGACTAGTTTTCAGGCCTTTATGACTTTGCACAGTTTATATAACATGGAAACTGATTTTTTTAAAATACATTGGACATGTTGGATTTAAGTACATTTGTTCATCCTATTCTTCCTTTAGTTCTCAGTCAGTAACTTCAAAAGTCTGATTTCGAAGACTGATGCGAGGTCCTGACTTTTTCTGCTGGACTGACATACAGATGTACAATGTTGGTAAATATCTCATTTTTCATAAACAGCAGAATTACATTTGATTTAAAAGTTTTAAATTAACACTGCTAAAACTAAAATGCTCCGCTGGACGCAGCTTGATACGACCGCAGAGGTTGTATAAAAACCAGTCCGTCTTTCCTGAGGTCACCACAGGAGAAAAACCATTGGCTTATTTTGAAGAAAAAAAACTCTAGTTACCATGTAGTCAGTGTTGCAGTTTACAGACAATTATGTGCATCTTTAAATAAATCTTGTAAGAAGGAACAGAGAAATAAATAAGAAATTTATTTTTGTTTGACACCTTCCATGAACAGTTTGGCTTTATGGAATGTTAAAATATTCAGACATGTCAACCAGATAATCTGATGATGTGTGTTAAGAGAATGCAATGCTCTTTGCATGATCATGATGATAAAGAACCATTGCAACAACTATTTCACAAAATTGTTCTGGGGATCATAGCTAGGGTGTCTTTTAAATGAAAATTTTCGGTCGCTATTTAACATCTCTTTTGAGTGGCCCTTCATCCAAATTGACCCACTTTGTAAAATCTACCAATTTCTTTCTTTTGTTTAATCTGTACGTTAACCACCAACAAAATATACATGTGTATAAATAAAATAATTGCCATTAAATGTTAAACAAACAACAATCAATCAATATATTACTGCTACCAGAAACCTGAGAAAAAAAATACTCAAAAGAACTTATTGAAACTGAAGAAGTCTATTTACGTTTCCATTATTTTGATAGGTAGTAACTGATTAATGTTTGTTGGACCTTTAAATTCTTACAACCTATCAAAGTATCAAAACATAAGAATTGATAGAAAAGTTTTTAGTTTTTTTTTTATCATAACTCCTACATTGTCCTAGAAACAGATAATCAGCCAAATGATTTTTTTCTCTATATCCAAAACTATTTAAAATCATTAATTCATAAAAAAGCCAATACAGAAAAAAATAGATGATGAATCTTGATTATTAGTTTTCTTTCTCAATCGGGTTCCACAACTTTTAATTATCTGTTAGAGCCAACAATGTTCCTCGCACAGTATACTATAGATTTTTTGTTGTCTTTGAAAGTTTTAGTCGTGATTGAAAAGTTTTTATAGCTCTCCTGATCAATAGGATGTTGTTACTGGAATAAATATTTACCGTATTGATATTTCAGTAACTGTCAATCAATACTGAAACTGGTACCGTTATCATAGGGAAACAGATAGATTGGTTTGATTTTCTTGTTTGTCCAGAACCTTATCATTATTCAAACGTAACGGAAATTATGGATTTACGATTTGTCTCACTTAACATCTAAGTGGTAGTAAATAGAAGATTTTTCATCATTTACATACTTGTATCATGTTCGAATACTGGGATTTATTGTCAGTCATAAATTATACAGTGTTTCCTCGTAACTAAATACAACTTTAAGTTGTACACTTCCTTAAAAAAATTCCAAATGTTAAACAATCTTATAATTTCATTATGTACTATAAACATGATAAAATCATTTCAAATATGTTTAAATCAAATTGATGCCATTTTACTGTCGCTACAACATGGTCAAATCCGACCTGCAACCTGGAGCGGGGGAAGGGGTTTGGCAGGCGACCTTTCAATCTGAAATCTCATTTAAAAGGGCCTGGATTTTTTGTTTATTTTACTAAGAAATTGTTAAGTGTTTTTTTTAGGTGTCAAAAATGGAAAATTCTCAAAAAATTTTAGATTTTCAAACTTGTGCTGCCTGGACATCTTTTTGCCATTTAACATGGAATCTCAATTTACAATGTGCACCTCCAGTTAAAAGACTAAGAATTGTAAGCAACTACATGTATCAGTGCTTTTTTTAGTTGTATATCAAATTTGATCCCTGAACACAAGACACAAATATAAAAATGACAGTGCAGGAAAATAAATTAGATTCATTAATATATATTAGACAGCATTATCTTGAATATATATGAAAATATATGTTAATCATGTAAATATCAAATTTGTCTGCAGCAAAATGCCAAATTGTTTAGTGCTATGCAATATTATCCACTTAGAAGTAAACTAATGGCTTGCCTGTATTTACCGATAATTGATACAAAAGCCAGAGGGGAAAAGGAAAACATGTAACATGTATTGATACGACTAAATACATGTTTTATCTGGGAACAACTCTTAATGTAGACCAATAATTGAAGGAAGACATTTTTTTTCTATCTGTATATTTACAGCCATACTAGCTAATTATAAGAGCTCCAACCATGAACACTTAACAGAAATTGAAATTATGCAATGCTTACAAAGTCAATTTTTTCAAGAAAAATTTTAAGGTTAAATTTAAGGCAAATTGCTAATGCAGATATGATTACAATATGGTTATTTTGTTCACCAATCTTATATCAAATACTTGCATTTAAAATTTGACCTACTTAATTCTAATTGAAAATGCTTCATTTACTGGATCATTTAAAATACCACCTTTACAATTAATTTACAGGTCAATGAATGAATACGGTCAAGTTAAAACAGCACTCGTCAGATGCAAATTTACACACCAACTAGTGTAAGCTTATATAACTGTCTGCATGTTGAATAATCAGAATTTAAAGTTTCTAGCTTGAAAACTGCAAGTGAGGTTACATATATACATTAAGCTATATATAGAAAAACCATGTACATATAAATTTCAAAAAAATTACTTTATCCAGTAAACAGTCATGACAGTATTTTGTTGAAAATTTTAATGAAAAGTATTAAATTTTATGACAAATGCATGTATGTGCTATATTTACATCTGTTTAAATATTCTGTAATAAAGGTTCCAGCTCTAAAACATTTCAGGTGGACTAACTTAGGGACCAGAAACAGCCATTTATGCCAACCAAGGATGTGCTGCCAGCTGGTGAGCAAAATTTCAAAAAAACTAATCAACCCAGAAAAAAAATTCTTTTTTAGATAAAATTTCACTAAAAAACCATGACAATGTGCACATTGTTGACAACTTCCACAAATTTATCTATATGATTTTCTTACTTTCCTACGAAATTTTCCAGTACACTACTCTTTCCTGCACTTTGACATCCTACGACAGCAAACTGGGGTAAATCAAACGATAATGGTGTTCCTAAAGTAGTAAAGGCATCCTGTAACTTATTCACAATGGGAATAAGCTGCTCCATACCAACATTTCCTGCCATGGCAAGTTACAGTTTGTTATGATTACTCCTTTCTTCCTGAACAATTTACTTCATGATAGGCAAAGGACTATGTCAGTCTAATATTCAAAATTATATCTGCCATCATGACTTACATTGTAAGTATCCAAAAAGGATATACATTGTATGTGAATCATTTTAAATAATTATATTTATAAATATTACATACAAATGTATTCTAATTGTTAGATAAATTGTATGTCTTGTATATAAATATGAGTTCATATCTGTTTTTATTCTATGTTTAACTTTTTAAAAACCAGTGACACATTTACCTACAGTTACTCATGAGTATTATTTTTGGTGTTGATCCCAATTCCATTTATATATTTCCAAAATTTGCTAAAATGTCTTTGAGACTGTCAGATATATGGAGATGAGACAACAACCCAACAAAACCAAAAAGGACATTACATACACAAAGATAAATGTGTATTCTGTCTGTAAGAGAACAATTAATGTAAAAAAGAAGATACTAGCCCACTTTTAAGTTTTCTTGTATATTATTTTTTTCCTTTCCTCAACCTTTCCTTATTTGTTTCTATAATGTATTTCATCTGACTCAGTCTTATCTCTCTTGACCACAGACCTGACTGACCAGAGGCATGTTTGCTGACACTGGGTTATAGAAATAACTATATTGTAGCTATCAACCAATCATCTCAAGACAAATTTCTTAGAACTTTTCTGGTAGACTTGACTCACTAACTGGTCAGTTAACCGAATCCTTACAGCTGTTTAGAAATGTTACTAGCCTGGACTAGGGCTGTTGGATATGATGAGCACATTTTTAAGTTAACCATAAAGACTTTGTACCTTCAAACTCTATGGATTTATGTCCAATGTCATAAATACTGTCCTAACTATAGGCCACAATTAAGGAAACAAACAGACTTATTTTAAATGAATAAAGAATTGATTGATGTTTAACACCACTTTCAGCACTATTGTGCTATTTCTTGGCTGCATGGCGGCCAGTTTTTATTGGTGGAGGAAGCCAGAGTGCCCCGAGAGAACCACAACCTTTGGTAGGAAAACTGACAATCCTAGTCAATTAAGACTGGAGTAGAGCGCACCTGCCACATGCAGGAATCAAACTCACAACCTCAGTGTTGATAGGCTAGTGGTTCAGTAGTTCGACTACTTAGACCACTGAGGCCCTTAAATGAATGAATAAAGGAGTCGTGGAGTATAAGCCAATAAGATAGCAACCTAACAACCCCCTAAATCAAAGTACTGAAGTACTGAACATTGGATGACCACAAGTTCTTGTGGATGGTCACAAGCACTTGTCTCAGAAAAAAAAAATCACATCTCTATACCTGAAAGTGAATTTAATGTACAGAGATATATTTTTTCTGAGACAAGTTCGTGCGTGGATGATGAATAAATGACAGGGAATTCAACATCACCGTAATAACTATTATATTGTAGTGATACAAATTAGTATACTTTGGTTTGTTGATATATTATATTAATATAATAATATTTGTATATAACAGTTACATGTATTTATAATTTTCATCCATTTGTATATCATTCTATTCTACTATTCTAATAATAGTGCAGTGCAAGTGCATGGTGGACACTCTTCTGTAATAATTCGATTTTCCTAATAGATTGGATTTGAGTAGGCATTCATATTTTCCCGCAAAACTTTCTCGAGATATTCTTCCGCATGCGTTAACACAATTTTTCTGTAAGTGTGCATAGATATTAATGATTTTTTACTAATTATATATATATATATTTGTAACGACAAAACATTTTCATATTATTAATTTATGTTCTAAACAAAAAATTTTTTGCGGTCATATAAAAACATATTTTTATGAGTATTCATTGAAGAAATGAATTTATAACAAGCGATAAGGAATGTTATTTTGCACTCGATTATGTCCCATAATTAGAGATCAGTTACCAGTCAAAAACGAAAGTTACGCAAGTAGAAATCTCTGTGGCAACAATACATCGGAATGCCCTCACGGTCATCGCGATGTAAAAATCAAGACACCTACAATGTAAATGTGAATATGTCTTTAACAAGAGACAAGCAATGATAAGTGCCTAAATAATTTATTCACATATAACATGTATAACATGTAAACATTTCAAAAATGTTGGGAGACATTTTTCTTATCATTTGCTTATTAACAAGTAAGATCATTTGCTTATTAGTAAGTAAGTCCTTTTAAATCTGCTAATTTTTTACTAGGTGTTTGTTGTGAGAACAGATATTTTTGTTATAAAAACAACTTTTCAATTATCTCAAGGAACATAACTGTGTGACATATACATGTACCATTCTATTTATCCAATCAGTCTAAGTCAGAGCATTAATCAGGTTGGGGACACTTGCCCAAATAAGATGTCTCCTATGCACAAAAAAATATTTTGGATTTGAGGAAAATATTGCAAATGCACTTAATCAAATAAAAGACAGCAATTTCTGGTTAGCAACTCTTCTGAACATGCTGAATACCTTACATGTATTAATCATGTTATTATTATTAATATTGTTTCTAAGATAGGTACTGAGGAATTTTTCAGAGGGATCTACCTTGAATTTTATTCAATTTCTAGAAAAGCCATTAACCAAAAGTTAATAGAATCTAAATAAGTCTAAATAAATGCACCATATATGTTTTAGATGAAATGCCTATTTTTCAATTAGTTTTTTTTGCACTGTAACTCTTCATCATTTCAACCAGTAAAAATGTTTCTAGTAATTCTACACTTTTAAAAAATTCTCAAACTTGTCATTGTGATGGACAGTTGCTGCTGCCATTTCTATAAAGCATACAGAGGAATGACAAAGGAGATGCAAACTCAGAATCTTTCACATGATACATTTTAATTCTCACAGTATCTCAATTTAAGGTCCCTCAAGGGTGACTAGATAATATAAATATGGCCAGATGGCTACTCTTGTTCTTCTTCGGATCAGCACTAAAACACTTGCCAAAGTGGGGCGTCTGTTTGGCTGTGTGGGATGTACATGTACAAGTATGCAACCCTGCTTGGTCAGAATGGGAACATTAAATCCAATCATGGGGGGACTCTTCCTCTATAAAGCTTAAGGCATAAAGGTATACACAAACATGCTACTGGCATGACTAGTTGCTTGAGACCCCTGTGAATCAGATGCCTCGTGTAGAGAGACTGCACTGCTCTCTGCAAGTTAAGAATCCTTGCAACAACTCTTTGAGGGTCTGTATGTGGCCTACTGCAAAGCAAAATTTCTGCCCCTATCAAATATATGATCATTTTCCAGTGGCAGTCCAAGTTTCCCCTAAACTTTATCCCGAACGGCTTCTGTTACAGTACCTACCTATTGAATTTATTGTTAATTTGTTCTCATCCTGTACATGTACATCACTTACTTAAATGAGTGATTTTCTAAATCACTGATTCAAGTAACATTATGTCTTTCTTTAATAATCACCTATTTAAGTAGTACAAATTAATCACTAGACTAAGTGATTTAATTGTATTGTAGCTTTAAATATAGAATACTAATGATCCAGGGACTAATTATGTTTCTAAAATTATCAGAACCAACATCTGTGTTGATAGGATGACCGGGTCATGTCAGGTGATGACCTTGTACTGAATCTAGGATAATGACATCAAAATCACTTGTTTAAGTATCATACCTCAATTTCCTTCCAAAAAATCACTTCTTTAAGTATCATTATTTGAATAACCCCCACTAATTTCAACACACACCCCCCCCCCCCCCCCCCCCCCCCCCCCCCCCCCCCCCCGAACAGTGAAATTTTTATCGCGAACAGTAGAATTTTATTACATAATCTGTAAGATGAAACCTTGAATTTTACAGGAAAAATACTCCCACTGCTGGGAAAAATCTGTTCAGAAAGTATCAGTTCATTATGTAAAGCCATTATTATAGCATTTTTTCAACTAAAATAGAATTTGCAGCTAAATGATTTCATCAAAGGCATAAACCTTGCTACTTAAAAGAAGCAAAAAGTTCATATTTTTCAATTTTACTAATGAAAAGATATTATCTAAATCTATGTGGTTTAAAATTTTGGTAAAACTACAAAATCACAATTTGTGACAAAACTTCGAATTTGCTACTTAAATAAGTGATTTAAAAATCACTTATTTCAATAAGTCCCCTGACTGTACATAATATTTGCCACTGGACGTTAAGCAACTAACACTCAATCGATCAAATTTAAGGTATTCTGCAGAGGATTATGGGTACAGGTATGGCACCAAGCATTTTGAAAGGTTTTATCTAGTGACACAAATATGCAGCTAGGGTACCAAGTTGTAATAGCCTATATATACAACAATTATTTCAGCTAAATTTATATTCAGAAAGTGGTTGCAACCTATTCGTTGATTTTACTTTCTGAAGTCTGTATGTAACATATGAAGCTATAAATTGTTACAAAATATTCTTGGTATCCATGTTAAAATCATGTTTATTTATTTTAGTTTTGATTTCATTTGAAGAGTGAAAAGTAAACAAATTAACACGATTTACGCCCCCTTGATGTCCTAGGCTTTTTGTATGTTATCTATAAAGTGCTTTTGTAATTTGTTTGGTAGAATAATAAACAGACGATATAAGCTATATTCATTGTGTGTATTGCTGACAAAAGACTGTCATTACCACTGACAGCAACCACTAATCAATTGATGATTGATATCTTACCTTCCTACAAAATTTTCTAGTACACTACTTTTTCCTGCACTTTGACTTCCTACTACGGCGATTTGAGGTAAATCTAAAGATAATGGTGTTCCTAGAGATGAAAAGGCATCCTGCAGCTTATTCACAATGGGAATAAGCTGCTCCATGCCAACATTTCCTGACATTTTCGTTACTTCCGTCTGTCTACCCTTCTGAATAGTTTACTTCATGGCGGACAAATGATTATGCGAGGCCGCTTATATCATTTCAAAATGATAACAGTCGGGCTCCCCCACTAACATCATCAATCAAAAGGATACCTGAAACATTTTTAATGATTTATCTTTATTACATTGAAAATTTATTCCAAAATGTAGTCTGTTTTCATTTAAAATACATTTTATTTTCTTATTTGAAAATATCAAGGGAGGTTACTCTATTTTTAAAATATAATATGACACATTTACACACGGATATTACCTGAATGATTTATTGATTACTCATATATTATTTTTGATAATTACGCGATATATATTAAATCTAAAATCTTTTCATGTTTTCTATTCTCACCAAATATTTAGCACCTGTTTCAATCCTTATTTCATCTTAATAATAATAATAATAATAATAATAATAATAATAATAATAATAATAACAGACCTATGAAATGCAGTATGTATCTTGTGTCTGATGATGATACTAATGTTGATGATGAGCTTATTGTTTCATGATTTAAAACCTTTGAGGAATAATAAAATAAAATAAAGTTTGTATACGCTTCACTGTCTTGCTTTGCATAACCAGAGACATATTATTGTATTATGTGTACAGTTAAAATCCCCCTTACTGAACATCACGGTACCCAGATTGCACCACGGCGAGTATCTAAATTGCACCCATTTAGCAAAAATAGCCGAGCGGAAATCTTACAAGTGTTCTTCAAGACTAAACATTTTGTATTTTTTATGATTTGACATTATGCACGTCTTTCAACATAGCTAAATATATTTAAAAATACACAAAACGTTTACGGTTTATATCAAAAGATGAAGTATTCACTGGAAAAAGTAAAATCTACTGTAACGTCTACTTCCACAAAAGGTAAAACTTTGAAAAGAAGCATTTAAAATATGTTACAGGCATCCCCATTTCTTAAAAACTTAATAGGAAGCATGGACTATTGTCAAATTGTTCTAAATATTTGGAGAAATAAAAAAAAAACATCAATTATTCGATTTTTACGTAGTAAATTTAAGCATGGATGCAATTTGGGTATTCCTTATTACAGAAAATCATGGTTCGTTTGGTTCAAACCCAGTTTTCTATTATTCAATATGGATTTAAAATTAAAGTTGTGGAACTATAGTAATTAAGGATACATAATAAACACAGAATGGAAACTTTTGTCTTGATCATAAATAAAAGTAGGTGAAAAAATAGGTGCAATTTGTGTACCCTCACGTTACCTATTTGCAAACTTGAAAGATTCCAGATTTTTTTTAACAGACATAAATCACGAAAATGAAGTGTGGATGCGAAAATAGTACAGTTATTGTTTATATAAAGTCGTAGGCAATTGTATGCTTTCTTAAATAGCACAGTTTTTAACAACAATTGGAAAATAAGATAAAAGGTGTGCTTGTGCTTGGTTTTTTTTTAAGTAAAACAAAATATCTTGGTTTTTCAATGTTTTACTGATGGAAATAACAATTCCCTTTTTAGAGCTAAATTACGACCCGGAGCTATTCTACCGCACACCAAAGCTTTATACGCGTTACTGTCATAAATTTTTAATATGAATGAATTGATGATAGAAAATTAATCGATCTTCATTTGCTTGAATGAGCTTATTATTATTATTATTATCATTTACACCTGACCTTTAAAAAAAATTGTAAACAATCTTTTTATTATTCTGATTTATGATTATCCCCCTTTTTTACCGAATGTCATCATCTTCGTTTTATTTACATTTATTTCTAATCTAGATTTTTCACAATATATTGAATAATTGTAGCAAACATTTTTTTGTTTCAGATACCAATTATATTGTATCATCTGCAATTTATCATAATTTATGCAATTATTCACTTTTAACAACTCTGTGAGAATGTCTTCCAGGTCATGATTAGGAAAAGAAAATACCAAATAAGATTCTTCCACTTGTCTAACATCCGTTTGACAGCTAATGAACAGCGTTCCTTCCTTTTTATATTGCTAGTACTCAACAACAGTTTTTTTCTTTGTCAAAATCCAGATGTCGATACCATATCGAATGATTTCAAAAGGTCCAAAAGAGTAAACTCACTACAATACGGACATTACAGCTATACATTCGCTTTAAGGCTGTACTGTCAAACCATTGTCCTAGAGGCTCACAAACTTGTCTAACCCTGGCCCGCCAAATGATTTAATTGCCTGTCTCAAGACACGAGCCTTTAGTCAAGCGGTTGTCGTTGGTTGCTGTCTGCAAAAAAGTTTTTAGCTTATTTAGAGTCATTAGTTTTCTCATTTGTGTTGTTTTACATTTTATTATCCCATTGTTTAACAATTAACATTAGTGCAAAAAAATTAAAACTATTCAAAGGAGGACAGAGTTGGTCACATAGGAATACTAATTACAGGACTATAATTTCCCACAAAGAATACAATAAAAACAAATATATACAAACAAAATAATGACAAAGCAAAAGTACTTGTTTTTATTTCTTTGCACACATGTTACAGTACAAAATGGAACTCAGCAGGACAAAGGAGGTTGTATATATACAACTTCATTGGCATTGTAACCGCCTTGGCAGCTCCCAGAATCCTCCTGGTACAAATTGGAATTCCAATATCTACTACTAAATATCTGTTAACGTATATTAAGTGCAGATATAAATCAAAATTTGTTAGTCTTTGGCAAGTCGTTAAAATTTGTTCAGTTTCAATCAACTATTTATTCAATTAAAATAGTAGGAATGCAATTAACATAATCTAGTATTACATTTAAAGCTTAGATTTTATACGTACGTCAAAACAACGACAACAGTTTAGGTGCTTTGTCAGCTGGATCAAACACAAAATGTTGTTTTAAAGTATTTAATTTGTTTTTAAATCTTAATATCAATTTCCTGGAGTTAATGTTTTTAGGAGCTGTTTGCAAAATGTTTAAAACGAAGATTAACCAGTGATCAAATCTTGATTAAAAGAGACGGGGGAATGGGGCTTAACACAAATAACCTAACTGTCAATAAAACAGATAATCTTGTTAGAATACGTCCATTTTGTATTCTGTATTTAAAGATCTCTTTTATATACATAAAGGATATGTTTTCTCGTACAACTATCAGACTGTCACTCGTTTTGCACTGATGTATAGTTTATGTCATTTGACCTGACTTATGAAAAAAATCTTATCAACTTAAATAACTTGTTCTTTTACTTTTTTATGGCGTTGCTATATAAGTTATCCACCGAAGTTCAGCAGCCGATGTTATAGTGTATGTCTGTAGGATTTTTTAATATCAGCAGGTTAAATACTTTGAGCTTGCTTTCAGTTACTGCGAGCATTGTTTATTATTGTGATTGTACTTGGACTTTTGGTATGTTTTGTACAGGTTTTGTAAAGTTAAAAGCTTTTTCTGTTCACAATTTTTGTACGTTCTTTAGATATATATATATATGAGTCATTTGTTATTTCAACGCTACAGATAAAAGTGGAAGGTTGGAATGAAATAAAGCCAGTTAACCAACCAAATACTCATTTGCATGTCCAAATGAAGAAGTCTTTAATTATTTTGCAATCTTTATCTGTTAGGCTATTGATTGAAAGTTGATTTGGTATCATTTTTGATTTATTTCATTGTTGCATGATGTATCTCATTATAATTTTTAAAAAAATTACGCGTTATATTATATATATTTGTCAAACATGTATAAGGGCCTTTGGCTTTCATGGGGAATTTATCTAATTTATCAAATGATAAAATATTTAATGTATAAACCTTATTTCAAAGCTACAAATTTAGTATACTGATATCCAGCTACTTTTATCTCTATTTTTCTGAAGATTGCTATGATCTTTAAATATTATTCGATACATTGTATACTTGTTAAACATCTCATCTTATTTCTATTATACTGTATACATATATACAAGACGTATCCTCCAGAAAAAACACTGTATAATATACTGTACAGCAAAGTACTTAATTTTTAGATCAGCATTTCTTTTTCAATCAGTAATATGAGTCATTTAAACAGCAACTCGTAACCACAAAAAAACTTGAACTGACATCGGAGTCGAATCCTTAATGATTATTGTATGATTGCATGGTAGTCGGAGATAACCCAGTAATTTATGAAGCTAAATCAGTCAGTATTGACTGACTTGTTGAAGGCCGTACGGTGACCTATAGTTGCTAATTTCTACGTAATTTTGTCTCTGGTGGAGAGTTGTCTTATTGTCAATCATACCATTTTTATGAAGAAATGTCAGTATGCCCAGAGAAATTTTTCATAAACAGATTAGTCAAATGCAGCTTCAACCACCAGAAGCATGCTAAATCGTATAGAGCTCACTGCTTCAGAATGATGCATATTGTGTGTAGTGTTATGACGAAGAACACACTCAGATTGAAATTCAGACCGGTCTTGAATCATTTTTGTCTACCAAAATTGAATTTAGAATATCATTGAGAATGGAAACGGGGAATGCGTCAACATGGTCAAAGAGACAACAACCCGACCAAAGAGCAGAAAACAGCCCAAGGCCACCAATGTGTCTTCAACACAGCGAGAAAATCCCGCACCCGGAGGCGGGCTTCAGCTGGCCCCTAAAAAACAATGTTTACTAGTTCAGCGAAAATGGATGTCAAACTTAACTCCGAAACATATAAATTAACAAAAATAAAAAAAAAATTCACAAGACTAACAAAGGCCAGAGGCTCCTGATTTGGGACAGGCGCAAAAATGCGGCGGGGTTAAACATGTTTTGTGAGATCTCAACCATCTCCCTATACCTTTAGAGGTAGCCAATGTGGAATAAACAAACACACAGCAATACGTACAGTAAAATTCAGTTAAAAAGAAGTCCGAGTCCTATGTTAGAAGAGGTAACAAAAGAAACTAAGCTAAATGACAATAATCAACATAAATTAACAAAGGGCTACTAGCAGTTACTGACATGCCAGCTCCAGACCTCAATTAAACTGATTATGTCTTCATCAGAACAATCCCTCCCGTTAAGGGTTTAGTATC